AAACGTGTGCACCCCTTGTTTATTTTTATTCGTGCAACCCTTGTAAAAATGTAGATTTTTTCCGAATTTCTCGGAATATTTAGGTTTCGCTCGGAATTAGCGAGTTATTGATTTTCGTGGCCGCTATTAAATCGTATTAAAATGTTGAGAATGCCATTTACCCAGCTGCATAACAGAAAGGAAGACGTTATATGGCCCATAAAGCTAACATTTACCGTGCGCGTAAGTTGTAACAGCAGATTTATTGTTGCAATTTTACTTACTATGTAGTGGAGCGGCCCAATTCGGGAACTATTATCCATCTATGATTAATTTTTATTATCGATTTTGATATGGTTTTACAGACCCGTCTCGGCTTATGCCTTGTTCTTCCGTGATACGCAAGCGGCCATCAAGGGACAAAACCCGAACGCGAGCTTCGGGGAAGTCTCAAAAATCGTTGCTTCCATGTGGGACGCTTTGGACTCCGAACATAAAAACGTAAGTAACCAAATCTAGTGACTTTTTTCAAATTGAACCTAGTGTATTACCACAACTAAACGTCAAATTTATTTAGAAAATATTAAAATCAAATGATTTAACAACGATGATTTAGGGTCACAGGTCGGCCACAAATTATCATTCTTTTCAGATGACTGTTAATAAATAAAAGCTCTTAACGAGTGAAATATAAATCTTGAAATTAATTTCAGCGTTGACTTGAGGTTAAATACATTTGAACGTGTCATTAACCAAATTTATGTTTTATGACTAAATTATCCAAATGATGAATAATAAATGAAAATAACATTCCACTAAAATTAAGGCTAGGATCTGTTTACTGCCGCTGACAGGCATTCAATTATTTTTGTTTAATAAATTAATGTTTATAGAAAAAACAATTATTTATCGCTAATAACAATTTAATGATGTAATAAGAATAAAAATTATTTAACGATGGCGAAACGATTACGTCCTATAAATAAGCATCGCGTGCGGTCTGTTGGCAACGCTGATGACATACAAACAAAAATTACAAGAACGTGTAATTTAATTTTTATTTTTTACACACTAGAACAGTGTTGTCCAGGTCTGGTGAAATTTCACCAGAACTGGAGATTTTTATACTAGTACATAATGGTTTGGTGATAAATTTTTTAAAAAATTCTAATTTCTTATGAATTTTTGGAAACGTGACTGTAGTTCCAGCAGAAAATGATGTATTTTGAAATATTTTTTTTAAATCGAATATTCGCCCACATGTAAGATTAACTTTTTTAATTATTGATTTAGTAAATTCAGTCAAAAATGATGACGCTATTTTTTTGCATTTTGCATGATTTTTAGCCATACAGAAGCTCAAATGCAAAATTTTCTCAAAAACAAGTTGAAAATCGAGTGATAGTTTTGTCTTTCTAAATGAAATTTCACTCAACAAGGTAAGAAAATCGCCAAAATGGGTCAAAAAGTACATTATTTTGATAATTTCTGAGCCTTTTAGTATGTTTTTAGCCAGAAACAAAACTATTTTGCAAAATTTCGTTAAAAAGAAACGGAAAATTTATCAAATTAGGCCAAAACTAGTGTTATTTTTGCAATTTTAGAGTGTTTTAGCAGGTTTTTAAAATACATTCAAATTGCTAAAACTGACTGAAAAATTACCAAATTAGATTGAAATTGATACCATTTTAGCGTGTCTCGCTCGATTTAATTCGTTTTTGAACCAGAGACTCATTTATTTTGCAGGATATTGTCAAAACATACTAAAACACAACAAAAATAAATGTAATTTGATGTCATTTCGTTTGTTCGATTTAGCTCTTTTTGAGTGAAATTTTGTCAATAAATTCGAGGAAAAATACAAAGTATGGTCGAAAATGGTGTTAATTGAAAGATTTTGCTAAAACAAATCAAAAGAACATCAAATCAAGTCATTATTTTTGGTTTTATCCTTGATAAAACAATAAAACATTTGTGTTTTAGCATGTTTTTCAAGTAAAAACGTTAATATCGGATGACTAAATGATGTCATTTTTTACCTAAAGGTGTCAAATTAAAAATTTTAGTTTGGCAACCTTGACTTTCAAATTCAAACGTCAAACTGCAATTGTCATTCATTTGCGACTGCTGATTTAGCCGTCACCTGAAACATTCTGATATAACAAATTTAGAAAGATTACCACTAATTCAGTGTTGCCAATACATTTTTTGTTATCCGGTATTTCGCAAATTTGAATTAAAAACTAGCCAAAAAATTATAGAATCAAGACTAAATAAAATAGCGTTACCTATTTTTGCATTATTCGAGCGTTTAAGCACCTTTTTGAACAGATTTGCCATAAAAAAACACAGTATTAGAAAAATTTTAGTATATGGTGAAAATAGGTAAATCTGGTAACTTTTCTGCTCAGATCTGGTGAATTTAATTATTTTGAGTTGGCAACACTGAACTAGAATTGGGCATTATTTTTGTTGGGTTGGCGATTTCGTGCGCGCGCAACTTCTCAGTCCCCTTGTTTGAAAAAAACCGTTTTCCTCCCTAGGTGTATAAAAAGAAGACGGAAGCGGCCAAAAAGGAATACCTGAAAGCACTCGCCGCCTACCGGGCGAGTTTAGTGTCCAAGGGCGCCGGCGAGGGTGACGGCATGTACGGCAACTACGGCAGTTACAACGCCGGCGCCCCCCAATACGGGGGCTACACGCCTCAGGGCACCATCCCCTCGCCGCCTATGTCGTCGGCAGCGACGCCGCCCACCCAACAGCCCCCAATTGGCAAGAAGCCGGCGATGATGGCGCAGCAACAGCCGCAACAACAGCACCAAAACATGATGCAATCGCCTATGGGCCAAGTGCACATGCAGCATATGCAACAGCAGCATAACAGTTATATGCAACAGGTTCCTCAACAGCAGCACATGCCAGTGTCGCCGCAACAGCAGCCACATATGCAACAGCACGTCAGTCCGCCCCCGATGGTGTCGAGTTCGCCGCCGGTGTCGGCGGCGGCACCGCCCCCGACTACCGGCGCGCAGCAAGCGCAAGGACAGATGAGACCCCCGAATTCGTGTATACGACACGGGTGCCCCAATCCGGCCATCAACAACGCCGAGTGGGAGGACGAGTATTGCAGTAACGAGTGCGTTGTGAGTCATTGCCGGTAAGTTGAATCGCCGGGTGATATACGAGTAGGTGTGATTTTGTGTTTTTTTTTTTCAGGGATGTATTCACAAATTGGGTAGCGAACAACAAGAACCAATCACAAAATTTTTCAACAGTTAAATAAATTGTAGATGTAGGGATTGTTGCAAGTTCGAGTTAAGCAATACCGAGAGGAACAGATAGGATATTAAGTTTGTAATCGGTCCGAGTGCTGTACTGATAAAATGATGTGTAATAGTGAGAGGCTAGGTTAAGATTGTAAATAAAATGATAATCATTTAGAGAGTGAGGTTGTATTGTGGGAAGCAATAGGAGCAATACGATTTCATGAAATAGGTATACAATACAAGACACTGTAATCCTAGCATATACACGTTGTATATTAATTATTGAAGAAAAATTTGTTAATTCATGCTCTGTAAATGCATGTACCCCTTGGAAATAAAAATGGTAGTTAGATATGTCCAAAGTACATAAAGAAAAACTATATAAGAGGAAAACTATTTTAGTTCATAGTTAGGTCTTTGTTGTTACGGAACGTTCCCCATCCCTTGTGCAAGCGTGGATGAGTGAGAAAGAGTATAAATAATCGTGTTCTCTGTTCCTTGTACTGAATTCCTTTTATTTGAGATCTGACCGATCATAGTTTGTAGTGTACAATTATTTTTATATCATTGACCAATCAAAGTTACGCTTTTTTGTCGATGTATATAAATTGCAGTTGTTATTTTATTGTTATTGATGTAATAAGCAATTCGGTTGCGTCAACATCCCTAGTATTAAATACGTGGTGAAGGATGTATATTTGTGAATATTATGAACGACTTGTTGAGATTCGAACTGTTTGAAGCAGTGATATTGTTAATGCGTTTTTATTTCCTTCCCGACTGTTTGAGACAGTTTGAACTGTGAGAACTGTATTATAATACGTTTAGGTAAATGCATATTACGACTTCAATACTTGGTTCTCATCGTTCCTTCGGTTGTTTGAGGAACAATCGGCGATTCGTTCGTTCGTTCGTTGGGTCGACGGATATCAAAATCACGACTATTCCAATCCTTATCTCTACATGAGCTTTAAAATTATTAAGTACAATTTATGTTTCACTATTACATTGTAAATATCATATTTTATCCTGACAAGCACACCTTATACTATGTAATCAATTAATATTTAAAATAAATGAATAGATTCTAAACACCCTTTTTTCACCCAAAACACCTTTCCAGTAATAGTATACAGGGTGTTTGTGGATTGCGAGCAAATATTTTAACCACTAAGAGAATTTGTTATGAAAAGTCGAATTAAAGACCAAACAAATTCCGTATCCAAATTTTATTTTTGCAATTTCCCCCCCTATGATTTTCACGAGCCGTTCAGTGTGTCTGTCCTTGTTAGTTGGAAGAAAAAATATCAATGAAAATAAATTGCATTGAATGTTGACCGTGAAAGTTTTTATACAGAAAAAAGGAAACTTTTTGTACAAAATAATTATCACTTGTTTACACGTGTCAGTTTAGTTAGTCGTTAATGCGCTTTCGGGTGAATTGTGCACATCGATTTGAAATCAAATTGTCATTCAAGTCAACTACTCAAACAAATTAACTAGTGTACGAACATCACTTCCAAGACCAATTTTCACTTAATGTTTTGGCAGGGATCATTGAAGATCACCAAATTGGACCCCACATATTACCTCAACTCAGAAATGACGTGCTTTCGACAAAAGTTGGAATAACGAAAGTTGTTTCTTTTGACGAGTCCTATTAGCGGTTAAAATATTTGCTCGCAATCCTCAAACACCCTGTGTTATTATACAAGTTTGGAAAAACTGTATACACGGGGAGAGAAAAACGCAAAACACCTTAAATAACTTTATTTTCCAAAAATTACCCCTAAATCGTCTCTCCTCCCATGGACATGGGATTGGGGCTTGGCGTCGAGCTCACCGAACTCAACGTCTCCTCTTTCATCTTCTTCATTGGATCCTTCTCCTTCTTATCCTTACTGTGCTTATGCTCGTGTTTATGCTTGTGTTTATGTTTATGCTTCTTCTTGTCCTTCTTCTTCTTCTTAATCTTCCCTGTATCACCCTTATGCTTCGAATCCTCCTTTTTAAACATCCCGGGCTCGAAACCCACCGGCCCACTCTGACCCATCCCCGGCAACGACACCGAATTATCCGAAAAATACTCCTGTTTGGGAGTCGGCCTTGACTCCACCTGCACATCCATTGGCTCCTCCTACGAGAGAATTAAACCACGCCTGGACCAATCACACACTTACCTTAACGCGATCCTCGCTTGCCACCACCTCCACATTCATACAACCCAAATTATCGTCGATTATGATTGGCGTAGTACCGTCTTTTGGGGTAGGGGAGTGTTTTATTTCGGGAACGGGGAGGGGCTTGGGTATGTAAGGCGTGGTCTTTCTCGCATCGTGTTTATGCATATTCATCATACCGGCCAATTCCGGTATTGGGAGACAAACTGGGCGTTTACTTCCGTATAAAGTGTAATACAAGTCGACCAAATCACACCTCAGTCTTGTATCATGTGACAACATTCCGCTGAAATGTAAATAGACTCCGCCTCTTTGTGATGATTTAAACCACACCCACTTACTTGATGTTTGTCCAAATCCGCTCGACTAAATCAGGGATGTCCAATCGTTCGCGATGTGCCCTTCTAAACGGAGGATTGGTTATAATCAAGTCGGCTAGTTTGTGACGTAAGCCAGGGTCAGGGTCACTTTCTAAAATATCAAGTATGTCTTGAAGGTCATTCCAGCGACCATCAGCACGGACAAAATCCACTAAACATTCGAGTGCTGCAACTCGAACATCTGAAAATCGACCAATCAGTGACGGGAATCGTTAAATTTGAATTTCAACCAATGAAATGGCCGTAACTGGCGTAACTCTTGAAGATGGTTGGACGGCTTGGCAAATGGCCGAATTTCTGCAACTTCCGAATTGCCTTAAGACACGCCACTGAAACGGTATATTTGTAACAAGCTAAGGCTTTTTCAAGGTTAAGCATCCTTGTGACTTCCTCAAGGATCAGTTTGGTGTCAGTACTGAGACTTTCGGCCGTTATTGGCGCCCCCTGGTGGATCACCGAGACAACAGGAGTAACAGTATTCCCCAACGCCTCGACCAAAGCCGCTCTATAGTAATTATCCGAGTAGCGATTCTTCGAATTATCGTTATATTTGAACAAATCGAGCAAAAATCGTATAACATCAGGTGGACAAATCCCGTGGGCATTCCTCAATCCTGCCATAGCCAACGGGATTGTCTTTTGCAAATAATAGTGTTGAAAATTAGTAAAACTGTTCTGTCTTATTATATGCGGAGCGGCAAACGATCCAAACAATTTGCGAAATATTGCCAACATGGCCGGCGGACCGGCCCAATTCGCCACCATCGCGTTTGCCACTTTGGTGAGACAGTGGGCGGCACGACATCGGACTTTATAGTAGCATTGCTCGTTTTCGATGGTGTCGGTGAGGGCGAGACGGGTGGCGGGGGTGGGGTAACGCTCCAGAGCGTAGATTGCCTCCATCTGGGCTGTGACGTCACGCTCGTGACGGAGCTGGTACTGCCATTGGTAGTCGGGCTGCTCGATCACAACCGACCGCAAAAGGGTCATTTCCGGGTCCAACCGGATCCACAGCACCGGAGAGTCGCTGAAATTTTTTTTTATAAAAATAAAAAAACACCCAATAATTTTTCTCAATTTTTAAAATCGGAATAAAGAATGAAAAATGACAACAGTAAACAACCTGTATAATAAATATTATATTCCTTTTTTTACAAAAAACATAAATGTGTAAAAAAAGAGTTTCAATGGGCCTCAGATAAATTAAGATAGGTGGAAATTAAAAATACTCAATTGTCATTGGTCTGATTCGAACATTTAATCAGAATTGAGTATTTTCTCCTTCCCGCCCAAATTATAATGAAAACATTGAACACCCTGTATAATAAAAATTATTTTCCATTTTTTTTTTAGACAAAAAACTAAAGTAAAAGTTTTCAATAGTCCTTAGATAAATCAAAAGAGGAGGAGTTTCAAAATACTCAATTGTTATTAGTCTGATTCATTTTAAGACTAACGAAAAATTGAGTGATTTTGAATTTTCCCCTCGAACTAATTTCAAATTCTAAAATCTAAATAACGTATGAATAAATAGTGAATACCCTGTATAATAAAAAATATATTCCTTTTTTTTAGACAAAAGACTAAAATATGCAATAAAGAAAGAGTTTTCAATAGTCCTCAGATAAATCAAGAGAGGGCCAGATCTGGTGATTTTCATGTTAATTTGGTAAAAATTTTTGTAAAAATTATAATACCTGAATTATCTGGTGATTTTTTAGAAATGAAAAAAACTATTTTTCGAGTATTTTCCAGATTTTCAACCAGAAACTTGATTATTTCGTCAATTTTTTTCAAAAAAGTCGAAAATTAACAAATTGGTTAAAAATAGTTCTATTCGTTTTTTTACAAAATTTTACAATCCAAAAATTCAACAAATTCTAACAAAAACGACGTTATTTTTGCTCCTTTAAAATGTTTGAGCACGTTTTTGAGAGAAAAACAACAAAAATTTCGTTGAAGCAGGAAAAAAAATTACAAAATCAAATAAAAATTGATATTGTTTTTAGCTTGTTTCGCTCGACTTACGAAAAAAACTCGAAATTAGAGCAAAATGGTATAATTTTTTCCTTTTTCCAAAGTTTAAGCAGATTTTTAAGCTGAAAACTGTTTTTTCGCGAGAGTTTGCCATAGCATGTCAAAAATCACTAGATTTTGTAAAAAAAGATTATATTATGATATTTGTACCTAACTCTTAGGCTTTAACTTGATCATTTCGTCAAATTTTCTCGAAGACAAAATAATCGAAAAACACCAAATTGGTTAAAAATAGTTCTATTTGTTTTTTACGAGATATTACTAAACAGAGTTTTTTTGAATGCTTTGTCCGCTAGAAACACAATTATTTTGCCAAATTTTCTTAAAAACAAGCCACAAATTCAACAAAATAGCCAAAAAACGGCGTTTTTGGCCCTTTTCGAGCGTTTAAGAATGTTTTTGAGAGATAAAAACACAAAAAAATCGAAATATTGCGTTGAAACAGGCTAAAAAATTACGAAATCGATATCATTTTTTGCTTGTTTCGCCCGACTTACTTTGTTTTTGAACCAGAGTCTCATTTATTTTGCAAAATTTTGTCTAAACACGCTTAAAAATCACAAAAACAATTGATATTGATGTTATTTCGTTTGTTTCACTCGATTTAACTAGTTTTTGAGCAAAATTAAGCCGAGAAACCTCAAAACTTGGCCTAAAATATTTTTTAGCGCGTTTTTGTACTAAAATCTCAGGTTTTTCACTAGATTTCGCTAAAACAAACTAAAAAAATCAAGAAATTAAGTCTAGAATATCATTATTTTTGCATTCCTCGAGCATTTTAGCACGTTTACTCAGCGTAAAAATTTGTTCGAATTTTTCAACTCCGATCTGGTGAATTTTATGTTTTTGATCTGGCACTTCAATCAGTGAGTATTTTCAAATTTCCCTTCCCAAATTAATTTCAAATCCTGAAATCTAAATAACGAATGAATAGAGGAAATAATAATAATTATACTCCTTTTTTTAGACAAATGGTGAAATATGTGTGGGAAATTCAAATACTCAATTTTCATAGGTTTTCAAGACCGACAAACACACCCAATCAGAATCGAGTATTGTACTCACTCCATCGCACTCAAGTCCATATCGACCTCGTCCCCTGTACACAAAGGAATTTTTTTCTTTTTATTTCTGCGACTTTTGGAATGACACGTGATATCGGCCTTAACCACCGTATTCTCAATTTGCAACATATGTTTAAAAGTCCCATCCAACTCTTGCAAAGTGACCAAAAGGGGGCCCACATATTTCCTAATACCCAACTGCGTAGTCGCGTCCTGTCTTATCTCCAATTCGATTGTATTTCTACAAAAAGAAAAATTAATAATGTTTAAGGGGGCCACGCGTGTTGTCACCTCTTTCGGTTGAAAACTGAAGTGAGATGAAACTTGGCATGGCCCCCTGTCCGCACCCATTGGTCAATAAAAACAGCCATGTCTTTACCAGTGACCGTAAAAATCGCCTTGGTGAAAACATTAGTGCTGATCAACATGTGCCCCCATAAGCCACTCCCGATTTTCTGTTGTGCGGCATTCGTAGCCAATGAGAGTTGTTTATTGAAAACTTGCAACAACAACTCTTGACCAATCCGGTGCTCCAACATTCGCATAACAAGACACGCCTTCTTCTCCAAAGCTTTGATATACATGGGGGACATTGTGTGAAGATTCCTGATGGAGAAATAAAACTTCTCCTCTTGTTTTGTGTTCGTTTGTGAGGCGTTTGAGCCGCCACCGACCGGCAAGGGGGCCGGGGGTTGACTCGGATCCAAGACAATCCCCCCGAACTGTTCTTCGTATTTAACAACGTCCTGGAGCATACTTTGCACCCAATATCTGTATTCGTTATTCCCGAAGCTTTTCTTACAGTAGAGACCACACAAATACTGACTTATCCCCTTGTTGAGCCACATGTCCGACCAATTTTGCATCGAAATGAAGCATCCGAAAAACTGCTCGGCTATCGCCTGGGCCATTATCGTCCTTGTGGTATAAACCTGATCTATGATCACGGCCGAGTGTAGCAAATTGACACTCAGGATACTCATCGTCGCGTACGATCGGTAATCCTCGTGAGTCTCATCGACAAAAACTTGCTTATAACACGAATAGGGGTACCGATTTGAGAGAGTCTCCTCGTAGAACTCAAAAGTCTCATGCATGTACCTCGTGGTCACTTTGAGCAAAGGCAGAAGGTTGGGGAGGCAAAAGTGGGTCACTTCGTGCATGTAGGGGTCCACGTAGATCTCGAAGGGCCCCACCGCGAGCGAGATATTGGGGGCACAAGTGGGCACATTGAGCGAATAGTGGTAAGTCTTACGTCGCATGTCCGGCGTGTACACCACTTCGATGAGGTCCCCGTTGGAGACCGCCGTCATCTCATCGTCGACGGTGAACTCCAGCTTCCAGGTGCAGGTCTCGGCGAAGCTGTCCACGCAGGGGAACCACAGGCGCGAGGAGTTTTGGTGGCCGTAGGTGAATAAGTGGACGCCGCGCTCGGCGTAAGTGCCCTCTTTGGGGGGCACGACGAAGTGGATGCCGCCCTGGGGCTGCTCCAGGGAGAACTCGATCCCGACACGGAGGGCGGTGCCTTCGGCCACGAGATGCGAAGCCTCGGTGGGGATTGTGACCACCAGCTCCCCGGAGTTGTTGTCGGGGTCCACTTTGAGCGAGGCATTGAGGTGGTGTGTGGAGAAGGTCTCGAGGCTACGACTGTCAAATGTCAAAAAATCATAGCCTGCTACGACCAAGAAAATGCGATATTTACGTGTCGGTGTCTGACTGGCAGATGTCCAAAAAGGGGTCAAAATACTGGAAATGCGCCTCATATGCGTCGTTTAAAATAATTCGGTAAATACGGCACTGCTTGGCGTTCAATTTGACGTGTCTCAGGTTGTCTCGAAGGGGCACCACCGTCAATTCAACGAAGCCCTACAACCACAAATTTACTTTCTATGACTAAAAGGAGGCTCGAAAACATACAATTATGCTTTTTCGTTCAAAACTAATCCCTGTAAGGCTCACAATTTGATGGGCTGTAAAAAAACATAACCTCACTTTTACGAATCAAAAAAAATTAAACGATTTTTTTAAAGATACTTATAATTTAAAGGGGCGGCAGTTGTCTCCGGTGCGCTCCCGCTTCATTTTTGTGTGGTTTTTGCAAGTTTAGAGAGATTTTAAAGTAGACATTATTGCAACTTTTGTTTACTAACAGTGTTTTGACTATTTTGAGGTTGGATTGTTTTTTGACAGTTAGTTTGTTAATTTCAATTTGGTGCGATTTTTGCCTTTATAGCCACTAAAATAAAGGTTAGAATTGCTGAAAATTGATTTTTCAGTAAGAAGCAATTATAGTCCTTATGCCACTTCATTATAAATTCATTTTTAATGAAACTTTTTTGAAATTGTCATAAGTTAGGTTATGTTGTTCACGTGTTGGTGAAGACAAGTTTTATATTAGTTTAAATAAGTCAAAATGAGTTCTAGTGAATCTGAGCTTAGTGATAGTGATGTTGAGGTAATGTGTCGAGTCTTCTTTAAAAAAAATACAAAAAATTGATTTTTTTTTTAGTTACAAGAAGCTTTCGCGGAGGGACGTCTCAAACCAGGGTTAAACACAGTCGAAACAGCCCCCAAACAATTCGTCAACAATGTCGTAAGTCACTCCACTTGTTTTTTTTTCCGAGTTAAATAATTCAATTAGGGTGGCCTTCGGCAAAAACTGGCGGAGTTCAAATCAAGCCTCCCCTGGATCGAAAACCTGGATTTAGTGAACAAGCAAGCCCCCTTGGCGCCGGAACTGGCCGCCCAAATGCTTATCCATGAGGAAAAACGCGAAAATCAGCTGAAAAACAACAAAAAATTGCCCCAGGTTGACCCTAGTGTGGACCCCGTTTTGAACGATTTCAAACGCGAGACGATGTTCCACCGGCAGGCTCAAGCCGCCGTCATGGAGGCCTTCCCGCGGATCAAAGCCCTAGGGCTCAAAACCATCCGTCCCGACGATTATTTCGCCGAAATGGCCAAAACTGATGAACACATGCAAAAAATCCGCGCGCACTTGATGCAGAAACAAGTGGCGAAACAACGCAGCGAGAGGGTGAAACAGTTGAGGGCGCAGCGAAAGGAAGGCAAAATGATGCAAGTTCAGGCCAAACTCGAACGACAGAAAGAAAAGAAGGCGATGTTGGACCAAGTGAAGAGAGTGAGGAAGGGGCAAAGCAAGGATTTGGGGTTCTTAGACGGGAGAAACAAGTCGAAGAAGGCGATTGAAAAGAGGAAGGTTAGGGATAAAAAATTCGGGTTTGGGGGCAAGAAAAGGGGGAGCAAGTTGAATACTAAGGACAGTGCAGCGGATATTAGCGAGTACAGGAGGCCCAAGAAACCGGTCGTTGGGAATAAAGGGAAAGGGGCCAGCAAGAGGCCCGGGAAGAATCGGAGGATCAAGAATAAAGCAAAGGGCAAACGATAAATAAAGTTTTTATGAAATGTTTGATGTTTCATTTTTGAATGTCACATTTGACGTTTTTGGACATTGTTGCCAATGTAACAAAACAATTTTAGATTATATGGATTATTTTGGCATTTATATTTAAAGATTTTGATGTAATTTTTTGTAATAAATGGTTCTTAACACTTTTTGTTGTTTATTTAATTTTTTAATTACCAAACAACGGCAAAAGCTGAATTTTTTGTGTCAAAAAAACAGGTTGACAAACTTCTAAAAAATTACTTGTCAAAATTAATAGGTTAAGTCTAACCTATACACGTGCTATTTTTTCTCATTCAAGCAACAAAAAATGGCAAAGCTGAAGCTTAGTAAGTTACAAAACTAATTCAAATAATAAAGTTTTACGTTGTTTGTCGTAGAAAAGCCGTCTAAGCGGCAACCTGCGCGCCAGCGTTACAAAATCCAGAAAAAAATCCGTCAACACAACCGCAAAGTCCGAAAAGAAGCAAAAAAGAACCCCAAAAAGCACAAACAATCCGTTATCCAAGTCCCCAACATCTGCCCATTTAAGGAAGATATCCTCAAAGAAGTGGAAGCAATGAAGAAGCAAAAAGAAGAAGAGCGTCAAAAACAACGCGAACAAGCGAAAATTGAGCGCGAAAAACGCAAAAACGAGGAAAAATCTGCTGGTTTAGAGACTCTTGTTGCAAACGCGGAAATGCGTGGCAAAATCCACGAGAATTTCACTCCCCTTACATCCGAAAAAACGCTTGAAACCAACCAGGAAAACTCCCTCAAAGCTTACTACAAAGAGTTCAAGAAAGTGATAGAAGCCGCTGACGTGATTTTGGAAGTTGTGGACGCCCGAGACCCCTTGGGGACCCGCTGCACTCAAGTGGAGCAAACAGTCAAGTCAATGAAAGGCAACAAAAGACTTGTCCTAATTTTGAACAAATCTGATTTAGTCCCTCGCAAAATTTTGGACCAGTGGCTCAAATACCTCAAAAAAACGACCCCCGCAATCGCCTTTAAAGCCTCAACTCAGGACCAGTCTCGCAAACTGGGGCAGAAGAAATTCACAAAGGCTGAAAAGACCGCTCAAGGGGCCACTTGCGTGGGGGCTGAAGTCTTAATGTCACTCCTCGCCAACTACTGTCGCAACAAGGGCATCAAAACGTCGATCACGGTCGGGGTTGTGGGGCTCCCCAACGTGGGCAAAAGCTCGATTATCAACAGCTTGAAACGGTCGCGTGCTTGCAACGTGGGGGCCACTCCCGGAGTGACCAAAGCCATGCAAGAGGTGCAACTCGACTCGAAAATCAAGCTCCTGGACTCCCCGGGGATTGTCTTCGCGGCTGGAAACGACAGTGGGGCTTCGCTACGCAACGCGGTCAAGGTTTCAAGCCTCGCGGACCCCATTACCCCCGCCAACGCGATTTTACAAAGGGTGACGAAGCAACAAATGATGGAAATGTACGACGTGACGGAATACAGCACCCCGGATGAATTTTACAGTTTGAAAGCGGCGAGAATGGGGCGCTTTAAGAGGGGCGGAGTCCCGGATGCGGTCGCAGCGGCGCGGGGGCTACTCGAGGACTGGAACAGCGGCAAAATCAAGTATTACACACTTCCGCCGGAAGATGAGGGACAGGTTCATGTCAGTTCGGCGTTTGTAACCGAAGTTGCAAAAGAGTTTGATTTGGATAGTTTAGAAACAATGGAAGTTGACACTTTGGATAAGATTGAGAAGGAGGGAGCGAGCAAGGGGGCCTTTGTTTTGGAGAGTTTGGGTCCCGTTGAGATTGTCGAAGAGATGGAAACTGAATCAAACTCAAATTTGGTAAATATAACATTTATTCCAATATTACCCCATAATATACTTGTTTTAGTTAAGTGATAAAATCAATGTTGAAAGCAAGAAAAGTAAGAAAAAAAGTGGGAAGACTGAAGCGAAAAAAGTTGACCCGGAGATGGAGTTAGAGGGTAATCAGAAGTTGAATCAAATTAGGAAGAATCAGTTCAAGAAAGAGAGAAAATTGCGAAATAGGAGGGAAAAAGTAGCACAACAATTGGCTAGTGGTTTAGAAAATTTTACTCTAAAGTCGGATAATGATAAAGATTATGACTTTGATACTGACTATACGACGTGAAATAACAACTGAATAAAATATTGATAATAATTGGAGGTTTATAAGTACGGAAAACCTCCTAAACTTAGTTTCAATAAAATCATAGTGTTTAGTCTGCGTTCCGGCGTGTTCAAGTTCTTGTTTTTTTCTTCGAAAATTATTTAAAAAACAAGCAACGGATTTAATTTTAGACAATAGAAATCCAATTAGATTATAAAAATGTGAAAATTAAATCAAGAAGAGGAGTGGGAGCTATAAAAAGTAAAATAGTTGAGCAAAACACTAATAGTCACTTGGGGGCTTATAGTCGGGCAACACCTCCCAGACTTTCTCCCTCCACTTCTTCATCTTCTGCTCCTTGGACTTCTCCAGCTGGATAACAGCCGGCAATGAGCGCCACTGGTAGAAATAGTGAATCACAATTCGCCTAGAAAAAAAAATCGCTATTTTATCGACTTTACCAATTCCCATACCTGTTGTAGTGCATTTCGGCGAGCTTCTTCTGTTTCTCCTGCTTCATAAACTCAACACAGACGTGGCGATGCCATTGGGTGAAACTCTTCTCCAATAAAACAAAATCGTAATAATCCTCAGCGACTTGATTGGCTCGGACTCGTTCCAAGCGTAACTGAAAACGAAAAAGGGGTTTTTGCACCACTTGTGGGAGAAACTCACTTTGCGCCACTTGTCCATCACGCGAGTTAGAATTTTTTTGGCGAAACAACCGTCGGCTTTGGCGTTTTTGTCCCGGTATTTGTCTTCAATGAATCGTTTCCAGGCCGCGATCGATTTCCTCAAAATACAGTTTTTGAGGTGACGCTTGCTCGTCTCTTGCTTCATCTTCATTGCGGTGTATTCGTCGAGTAGTTTCTTCAATGCGTTTTTGAGTAAATGTCTCTTGTGTAACTCTTCAGCTTTCTTCATTTTTTCCAAGAAGATCGCCTTGTTTTCTTGCCGTTTCTTCTCACGCTCGAGCTCTTGCTTGCGACGTTCTTTAATCATTTCCAGTTGCTTCTTTTTTTCTTCCTCGTCTTGCGTTTTCTTCTTTTCTAAAGCTTCAGCTACGAGTCTTGCGCGTGTTTCGTCTAGTATGCGTTTCCTTTCGACGACTATTTCGTGTCTTTTGGCCCGCTCGAGGGCCTTTTCTTCCAATTCTTGGACGAGTTTGGGGGCCTTTTGGGTCGAAATCATGAACTTTTCGCTGTAGTCCGCCGGGGGGGCCACTTTGCATCGGGTTTTGGCAGAACACTTGGCGAAAATCTCACGAATTTCGACCTTAGTTTCATTGAGCGACTTGAGGGCCTCCTTGTCTAAAATCCCGAGCTTCAATTCCTCAATCAAATGCTCCTTTTCCTCAAGCTTCGATGTAAGTCGCTCGATTGTGTTTTTCTGGGCCACAAACCGATTTTTGAAATTGTGTAAAAGCTTAAGTGGCTGGGTTTTGGCCCCAGAGGTATGCTTCTCTTCTTGTTTCTTCTTTTGGTACTTTCGCAACGCTTTGATTAAATTTTCAAGTTTCTGTTTCTGTTCTAATTTTTTTTGGACAGCTTCTGCTTTCTCGACTTTGATTTTAACTTGCCGTCTCCAGGCATCAAAGTACGACTTGAGGAACGACTTTTCCTCCTCGGGGGTCATTGCGTTTATGAACACTCTGTAAGAATGTTTTGATGAGTTTTGGTTGCTAAGGGGGTTTCAAAATTTGAATTTCCCGCGTGCGTGACATTTGACAGAGGACGCGTCAGTCAATGTAAAAATGGCGGACTTTTGTAAGGTGAGAAGGCTTGAAAATTAGCAATTTTCGCACCGTAATTTAGCAAAACAGCCTCAATTTCTTGCATAAAACGCCTCAATTACCCAAAATTGATCACTTAGAGTAGTTATAGAGGGTCTGAATTTGAGTTAGTTGTGCACCCTCACAAGATGGATTCTTCCAGCACAATTTGGGAAAACTGTTTATTTATTGGAAAAAATTTCAGCTGATTGTGGGTTTGTAATGGATACGATTGTACAAGGGCCCCCCGGGGAAGGGGCCCAAGACTTGAATCTAGTCGACGCGACTTGGACCACCCAAAATTCCCAAGAAATTGTAAACAACAACTCGATCCTCTACATCGCCGTAAGTATCGATTATCGGTCGAAATCCGCCCCTAATACGCCCCCCAAGGTCGAGTACATCAAAGATGAGTACAAAATGGAGCCCGCGGTTAACCTACCGCAGCCCTCGGAGAGTTTCACCGATTTTGAGCAACACGTGAGCCCCCTTGACCCGAATATGAGTTCAGTGGCGCGGTACAGCCCTGTGTATAGCGAGCCCACCCCTGAGTACAACCCTGTGGTCATCCACCATCTGGTACAGTCGAATTCCGGCCAAAGCGACATTAATAATTTGGCCCCTAATGCGGCCCTGGAGACCATGCCGGTGTTGTGCAATAACGACATAAGAGAAGTGGTAGACAACCATTTCTTGCAAATGGTCAATTCCAATAACCAGCTCCAAGTGGGCCCCCCCAACGAGCAGGAAGTGGCACTTCTGATAACTGACCAAGAAACCGGGATTTCCTACAGTGTCAGGGGGCAAGAATTTCTCGTCGAAGACGAACAGTTGTTAAATGCGTTGAGTCCGGACCCGCTTTTGGACCCCCATCTTTTGACACTGGACGAAAATGCGCTTAAGACCGAACTAGGGGACGAAATAATAAACTCAACAGTAAACTCCGCCGTTAATAATTATATCACGAGTTTGAGCGCTGCGGTAGACAGCGACGGACAGTACAAGATGGAGACCAGGAGGCAGAAACAGAACGAGGTCGAGTTTGAAGATCAGTTATGTAATGATTTTGTAATAAAAATTGTCAAGGGTTGTGAAAATTATTTAAATTTTGGTTGCAGTGTCCAAGGTTTATAGTATTGTGGACAAACCGGTGCCGTCGAGGGCCAGGGCCACGCTTCCAGAGTCCTATTTGAGTCTGCTTAAGGTGGACCAAGGTGAGCGCGTGTTTAGTCTGCGGTCCAAACCGATATTTCGCATATTTGGCCGTTGATGTTGGTAAAAACGTGCACGAAACTTCCAGGAATATACCAAATTTATTGTTTTAATGAGAAATATCAAAAATTGTGGCTGTATTTCACCAAAATTGAAGAAATGTGGAGTAAGTGTTTAGTCTGCGGTCCGCCAAATTTTTTCAAACACCGATATTTCACATTCTTTATCTTTGAAGTTGTTAAAAACGCACACAAAATCTCCAGGAATATGCCAAATTTATTGTTTCAACAAGAAATATCAAAAATTGTGGCTTTACTGCACCAAAAATGACGAAATGCTCTTAAGTGGGTGTTTAGTCCGCGGTCCGCATTGTTTAAGTTTTTATCATTTATCAGTTTTTGATAAAGTTTACAAAGAAAAATGAATCGCTTGCAAAGTCCTATTTGAGCCTGCTCTAGGTGGATCAAAGTGAGCGGGTGTTTTGTCTGCGGTCCGTCAAATTTTTTTAAACACTGATATTTTGTATTCTCGATCGTTGAGGTTGTTAAAAACGCACACAAAATCTCCAGGAATATACAAAATTTATTGTTTCAACAAGAAATATTAAAAATTGTGGCTTTACTGCACCAAAAATTACGAAATGCTCTTAAGTGGGTGTTTAGTCTGCGGTCCGCCAATTTTTTTCAAACACCGATATTTAGCATTCTTGACCGTTGAGATTGTTGAAAACGCACACAAAGCCTCCAGGATCATATCAAATTTATTGTTTCAACAAGAAATATTAAAAATTTTGGCTTTATTGCACCAAAAATGAAGAAATGTGGAGTGGGTGTTTAGTCTGCGGTCCGACAAATTTTCAAACACCGATATTTTGCATTCTTGGCCGTTGAGATTGTTAAAAGTGTGCACAAAATCTTCAAGAATATACAAAATTTATTGTTTTAAGGAAAAATACTAAAAATCATAGCTTTATTGCACTAACTAAAAATGAACAAATGCTATGAAGTGGGTGTTTAATCTGCGGTCCGTATTATTTAAATTTATTATTCATCAGTTTTTGATAAAGTGTAGAAAGAAAAATTAATCAAATTCTTTTTATGTAATCAGAATTCCAAAACACGTTACATAATGATAAAAAAAATAGCAGCATATTGTATTTCCAAAGAAAATGACAATGGAATTCGAATTTTTATTGTCTCGTCATCATGAAACAATTCCAATACGAAGTCATGAGCTTAATTTTCCATAAAAAAAAATTGATCAAAAAATTAAAACATTGATGTATTTATTTTAATTCGAACAAAGATATAAAATTAGCTAAAATTCGTTTTTGTTGAATTTTACAGTCGGAAATGTAAATGAAATAAATAATTATTTCAAATTTCAAATACTCACTTGCTGCTTATAATCATGATGAAAAAAAGATTTTTTCGATCAAGAAGTTAAAAACTAATCACTTGAACACTTGCTCAACTTTTGGCAAAACAAATGCCTGTCGCCGCTCGCCTGCATTTAAATAGTCGTCACTCACGTGACCTCCTCAGTGATTTTCCATTCGTTCCAGCAATCGGCGTTTTTGCCAAGAAAACAATCCCTAGAAGTACACAATTCGGACCTTTGACTGGAGTTTTGAAACCAAGCACCGAACGTTTGAAAAATAGTCCAACTTCTTTGCAATTTTTCATAGAAGATGAAAACAACGTCTTGTCACAAATTGATGTTTCAGATGAAAGTAAGTCGAATTTTAAGCTCGATAATTTGAGAAAAAAAATCATGTTTAGATGCCTCAAACTGGATGCGTTTTATAAGACAAGCGACGAATTTTAACGAACAGAATTTGTTGATAACTCAAGAGGGCAACTGTTTGTATTTCACAACAACGAGGAGTATTCTTCCGAAACAGGAATTGAAGGTAAATAGGTTTTGGGTGGTGGAGAATTGTGAGTGATTTTTTGGTCCGTAAGGTTGGCTACAGTGTGCCCTACGCCACCCGTCACAAATTATCAATTCTCGTCCCGGAAGAAGAAAAATCCTGGCCTTGTTACGAATGTCCCGAGACATTTTCCTCCTCTGATGAGTTACAAAAACATTTGAACGTGCACGACAGCGATGAGGAAACCAAATGGAAGAAAAAGAACCTAAAAAACAAGAAAAAAATCCCCAAAAGCGAAACCTTCCAATGCAACAACTGTAACGAATTGTTTGTCCAACCGGGAAAAGTCGCCCTCAGACAACACTTGATTGAAAAACACCTTTTGAGCGGTTTGGATTTAATCGATCAGTATTTTTCATCAGTCATGTGAGTCGTCTCTAATCGAAGTACCCCCCAAGAAAGTGACTTTTTCCAGGAATTACAAATGTGATAATTGCGAATCGGTTTTCAACTCGGAAGCTTTGCTAAAAATCCACAATTATCTTCACGATTCGGACAGTTCAGACGAACAAACGAATCACGTGTGTCCCAACTGTCAGAAAAAATTCCCAACTCAACGCCAACTTGTCACGCATGTCGCCACACACGCCCTCACCAAGAAACCGGAAACGGAAACGTTCAAGTGTCCGGTGTGTCACAAAATGTTTGCGATGCGTGAGCGACTTAGAGTTAGTACTTTTTTCCCCCGGGTTTACTTCCATACGAAATATTTCATTCAAATAATAGTTTAAAAAACGCTTTTCAAGTGATTTAGAGCTTTCGAAACTTTGCGTCTTCCTCCGTCTGTTTTTCGAGTTGTTATTTCATATTTTATCAAACCTGTTTACATTTTTTGTTCAGGGTGTCCCAAGTTTTAAAATATTTCTAATTGATTAAAAAAATTTTTTGCTAGTGCAAACGATGGAGGATTAAATAGACTTCAGTTTGATGCTTTAATAGTGTTCAAAATTTTTAGCGTAAAATCCTAAAAACCAAGTTTGGATTTTTTTTTAATTAATTGGAATCTTTTTTACATGATAAAATTCCTTGATTTTTTTTGTCTAATAGTAACTGTGAAAATTGAGTAATATAAAAGTTGATAGATTTTAAGTAATTAAGATTTTAATATTGAAAATTGAGAATTTTGGTAATTTATGCATTCACAGTAGAGCGGAGGCTTCACAATAGAGCTCAGGTACGTCATAAATGTCATTGCGGAATTTTTTCTTTTGTTAAAAAATTCTGGCCTGATCAACAATTACTTCAAACCCCCCCATAAATTATTCCAAGTTTCAGATTTTCATTATTCTATTTTCACAAATACCACAGAAAAAAATCAAAGAATTTTATCATGTAGAAAATATTCCAGTTAATTGAATTTTTTTTTCTTCAAATTTAATTTTTAAGATTTCACTGCGATACACTAAAAATTTTGTACAATATCAAGTGGATTTAATCCTCTATGGTTTACACTATGAAAATTCTTTCTTAATCAATTAGAAGTATTTATTTTTGCGCCGGCCCTAAAACTTAGGACACCCTGTATGATAGAAATTTTGTTAAAAATAATTCTGTTTGGAAAGAGAACATTTTCTTCTTTCATTTTAAAAAATTTAACAAACTTTAAGGTCATAATAAAAATATTCATATAATTTTGTTCAGTTCTTGTTGACTATCTTCGTGCTTTACAACTCGATATCACATTATTTTGTTGACTCAAAACTGATAATAATTGCATACCAACGTAAGCTTTCAAATGATAAAATTTTTCAGTGAACAGCTCACATAATAGCATTAAATCGTCTAAAAATAACTGAAAATATTTGTTTTCCCACAAAATTGTTGTATTTCTACAAAACAGGTGTTTAGTCTGCGGTCCGCGTCGTTGTGTTTTTTAATGTATTATGTTGGAATTAGTTCTAAAACATTTGAAACTGTTAAAATATTATTTAGTGGAACTAATGTTTCGCGTGGAAATAAATCCGTTGTTTTTTGTTTTGTTTGGAGAGTCGAAATGACTAAAGCGATTGCAGCGCCACATGCTGGTCCACGGCTCGGACGACTCAAAGCCTCTCCAATGTAAAACTTGCAATAAACGCTTTGTGAACAATTCGGCCCTCGCTGGCCACATCAAGACCCACCTTGTCGGTAAAAAAATCTTCGAGTGTCCCATTTGTAAAGAAAATTTCGATCATGTATTAAAACTGAAACTCCACGTACCGAAACATTGCGAAAACAACACCTATTCGTGCCCCCATTGTAGTAAAGTCTTCAAGAAGTATAGTATTATAAGGAAGCATATTCGGGCGTTTCATTGCGATCAGAAACACGCGTGCCCCCATTGTATTAAAATGTTCCCGACTTTGGATAAGTTGAAAATGCATCTTTTGCGCCATTCGGACCATCGAGAGTTTTTGTGTGCCGATTGTGGCAAGCAATTTAAGCGCAAAGACAAGTTGAAGGAGCACTGCAAGAGGATGCATTCGGAAGAGCGGGAAAATGACGTCCCGAGGCCCCCCAAACCTGTCTCGCAGCCGGTGAAAAAAATCAATCCGAAGAGTGAACCCACCGATTTCCACCGTTTCATCTACAAGTGTCACACTTGTCTTGTCGGGTTTAAACGTCGAGGCATGTTGGTGAACCACTTGGCGAAGAGACACCCGGATATAAGCCCGGATTCGGTCCCGGAATTGAATTTACCGATTTTGCAAACGACACGTGACTATTATTGTCAACATTGCGATAAAGTGTATAAGAGTAGCTCGAAACGCAAAGCGCATATTTTGAAAAATCATCCGGGGGCCGCTTTGCCGATGAGTAACCGGAAACAGGGGAATTTTCCGGATAGTTCCGGGCTTCCGAATCCGACATTTTCACAAACGGTGGGGAGTATTACCACAAGGCCGCAGAATTGCAAGTGGTGTCATAAACAGTATGCGAGCAAAGCGAAATTGTTGCAACATCAGAGGAAAAAACATAGCGAGCAGTTGGCTCAGCAGAATGGGGGCAAGGAGGAGCAGAAGTATACGCCCCCGGAGCAGGGGGAGGGGCAGCAGAGCGACTTGCAAGAGTTTAAGGTGGGTTTCTACGGGGAAAAATATTAAAAGATGTTCAGTCTGCGGTCCGCATCACAATTTTTTTTTTTTCAAATTTGTACAAATTTTTTACTGTAAAAGTGTCAAATGTTTATTTTTTCATGTGGCAAGATATTAAATTTATATTTTACAAAGAATATCTTTAGTCTATGTCCGTATTGCAACTTTTTTTTTCAATATTTTGTGATGGGAACAGTTCTAAAACGTGTCAAAATATCTCAAAACGTTTGTTTATGTTTGCAGGTGTCTGAGAGCGACATTTTGAACAGCGCCCTCGAGGAGTACAACAAGCGCGGAGGGGAGCAGTTTTGCCATTTTGTGGCGATCGGCGGTGGGGACGAGTTTGAACAGCCGGGGGACTTGGGGGCCCCCAATTCGCATTTGTATCGTTTACTGACAACGAGTAACGGTGAGTATTTTTTTTGTGAGTTTTTGAGTTTATTGTGTTTCAGAACTTCCAGGTTTAGTGCCGCCACGTTGAACAAAATCCTCGAGGATTTCGAGTATTTCCGATGCTCCTTTGTGAGATTTCCACTCAATTGAGTGATTTTGATGCGAGTTTGTGCCGTAGGTTGAAACCTACGTATTTAATAAAACCAAAAAGTAACAAAATAGAGAGATGAGACGAGATTTTTTGGGAAATTGAGATTATTTTAGCAATAATTGTCTTGTAACAAATTTATAAACGAAACAAAGCACTATGTTTGTTTGGCTTGGCCGCGAGGCCGCTTGTGTTTAGGTTAGGGAAGTTTGTTTGGGTCAAAAACTTGTATTCTAGATTCTAAAATTGAAATATTTTTCCCCGTAATAGTGAGTCCCAAGTACTAACACTTTGTATTTTAACTAAAATTGTTTTTCTAAATAATTAACTATTAAACTTAGGGAAATGTACCCCTGTGATTGTTAAAAACAAGTCGCGTGACTTTAAATATTTTTATTGTAAAAAAAAAATTGTTATTAGGGATATCCTAAAAACTCATATTAGTAGGCCAGGGTTCGGTATCGTTTTGGACAAAAACATCATCCTCGGAGGCACTCGTCCCTGGCGACGTGTACGACGTCTCCCCCACGCACGTGTAGTAACTCTCCCTTTTGCTTAAAGACAAGTTACGTCCGATGCAACTCAAGCCCTCGCTCGCCCTCTGATTGGCCGGGTCGAGCCGTAGGGCGACGTTGTAATGGTGGAAAGCCTCCTCGTCTTTGTGCAAATTGACATAACAGTCGCCGAGCATTTGGTGGATCCGCGACGTGGGGTGCTGCTCGACGTGTTTCAAGAGGAGTTGGCGCGCTTGGTCATACTGCTGCTCCTGCTCGAGCAACTCCACGAGCATACAGACGGCCTTGGTGGAGAACGTCTTCTCCTGCCCTACGGCCTTCTCCAGGAGCTTTCGTACGGCTTTCCCGGACGTCATCGGGTCTTTGAGCAAGACGGAGGCGTGCAACTGCAGTGAAACTATTTTTTGTAATTGTTGTTATTTGAGGAATAAATTAGGAAAAAGCGAATGGGGTGTTTAGTCTGCGGTCCGGCTTACTCACCGTCACCGAATGCGGGCTGTAGTTGAGCTGTTTGCAGGCGTTCTGCGCCATCGACTCGGCCTCGCGCAGCCGGTTCATCTTCATGTAGCACTCCACCACGCACTGGTGCAAGTCGTACCGAAAGGGGCAGATCTGGAGGGCCTCGGTGCAGTGGTGGGCGGCGTCTTGGTACTTGTTCAGCTCCAGAAGCGTCTTGGCTTTGAGGAGCAACGCCTCGATGTTCTTCGATTGGGAGGCGTAAAGGGCCTGTTGGGCGAAATAAACGGCCTTTTCGTGCCGTCTCGTCGAATACATCAGATTCCCAATCACGACCCAATGCTCGCTCGTCCAGAGGGACATGTCCGAGGTCGGGATTAGACTCTCGAGGTCCTCCACGTGTTCCGAGGTCCCCGAACTGGCCAAAAGCGTCGCCAGCAAGTCCCGCCCGAAGACTAGGTTCTGGTCGAGCTTCACTGCGCGCTGCAGGACCCCAATCGCAGCCTCGTCCTCGCACATGTAGTGGTAGCAGTAGCCAAGATTGGCCAAAACCGAGGTGTTGTCTTTGAGCAAGCCGTGAGTGTCCATGCTTTTGTAGGTCTGGAGGGCGTTTTCGAAGTCACGGGAGTGCAACTGGGCTTGCGCTTTGAGCCACAAATTCAACCAAGTCACTTCCGAAGTGGCCTCGACCATTAGTGCGTTCACTTCGACCCCTTTTACCCCCAGTTTGAGCAAATTTTCCACCGCTTCCAGGGCTAGAGGACACTCGCGGAGCACCTCTTTGTAGCAGGTGATCGCGGACCGCTCCATCCCGGCCTCTGAGTACAAATTCCCAAGCGCCATGTTGATTTTGGGGGTCCTCAAACGGGCTTGAATCGACTGCAACATCTCAATGGCCTCGTTCACCTGCTTGAGAGCCATGCAACACTTGTGTATCTTGAACCTGATCTCAACATCACTGCTCAATTCGGGCTGACTCTCGGTGATTTTATTAGACATTGATTTATTTTTTAAAAGGTGCTTGCGGAGTTGTAACGCCTGCCGGTACAAATTTTCAGATTGGGCATACTGTTGGGTTTCATATAACGAATCGGCGTAGAGTAGGAGCAGCTGGAATTTTTGTAAAGGGGGCAAACACTCCGGTTTTTGGTCAGACGCAGACAGGGCCAAATCGCACTAAAAACACTCGTCAGGGGATTCAATCAATTAAAAGTGGGGCTACAAACCACGCGGGATATGTTTGAGTACAACTCAAGCTCGTACATTGACTGCAATTGCTTTAATAAATTACTCATCTTGATTTAAATTACAAAAAGTGAGGTTAGGTTTTTGAATTTTAATAAAATGTCGAAAATCACAGAAATCCCTTAATGGTGAAATTGACACAATAATTGATTTTAACAATATAAAAACTGTTTTATACACAACTAATAACAAAAACATTGTTTCGTAAATTGAAACTTGTGATTTAACATTTGGTTAAAAAAAAAAATTTGTGTAATTATTAGATTTCAGCAAAACCGGATTTCGCGCCGCCCAAAACGTTGCTTTGACGTTATTTGGTGTTGTGCCTGGTAGGTATTTCCTTCAAATTTTGTAAAAAGGATGGGTTCTAGTAGTAAAAAATACAAAGAAAAAGAGAAAGAGTCTCGTAAGCGGCGCCACCAGAGCCCCAACTACCCTGACGAACATGAGCCCCCGAAGGAGAAAAGACACCGTCACAAGAGACACCACAGGGACAAAAAGCGCGACAACAAGGCTAAACACGATTACGAAAGCGACGGTAATTAAACCCCACTGTCGTTTTTCCCCGTTAAAAGTGTTTTTTTCCCAGGATCCGACGTAATCGAGGTCATTCCTGACGACAACGAGGCTTCAGGTTCGGGCCAAAACTCCGAGAGTCTTTCGATCGAAGAAACGAATAAATTGAGGGCTAAACTCGGCCTGAAGCCCCTCGATGTCAGTTCGGGGGAACGGTCCGAGAAAAGGCGAGATGACGGCAAGAAAAAGGACGATTGGGGCGAGTTTTACCACAAGCCTGCTGAGAATTGGGCGGATAAGAGCGAGAGGGAGAAGTTGAAGAGTAAATTGAGCACGATTCGGGAGAAACGCCAACTGGAGAATAAACTAGGAAAAGTGAAGCTTCTAGGGGATAGCGACAGCGATGATAATGCAGAGTCCTGGGTTGAGAAAAACCGGAAAATCGAATTGGCGAAGAAAGAGGCCGAGAAAAGGGCGAAAATGCTGGAGGAGTTGGATGAACAATTCGGGGTTAGCGAGTTTGTGGAAAACGAGAAGAGGGAAAAGAGGAAACAGCGATACACTGAGAAAAACTTGAAAGGGTTGAGGGTTGAACACGATGTTGATAGTTTTGCTGAAGAAAGGGATGTTATTTTGACGTTACAAGATAAAGGAGTCTTGGAGGAAGACAAGGAAGATGTTTTGGTCAATGTCAACATGGTTGAGGATGAGAGATACAAAAAAGTATTGTGTTTTTTTGCAACTTTCTGTTTTACTAATTTTTATTAATTTCCAGAATGTTATAAATAAAAAGAAGAAGATTTTATACAACGCATATGAAGATCAGGAATATGACGAGTTTGGTAACCCCAAAGAAAAGTCCCTTTTGGCCCAATACGATGAAACAATCGACGGTGAAAAAAGAGAAAGTTTCAAAATCGGTTACGACAATGCGATTGAACGCAAACAAGCAATTGTGCAATCAATTAAAGAAAAACTTGCGAAGAAAAGAATCGAATCGATTGAAACAAAAGATTTGAAGCTTGCATCAGAGTATTACAATGATGAGGAACTTTCTAAATTTAAAAAACCCAAGAAGAAAGTCCGGAAAATTCGAACTAAAGGAAAATTAACAGCTGATGAGTTAGAACAGCAAATTAATAATAAAGGGATTGAGGAAGTCGGGTCAAGGAGGCCGAAAAAAGACCTCGAGGACTTGACAATTGACGACATCCCGGAAATGGAATACCCAAGTGATGTGAAACTTGAGGATGAGAAAGACGACTTGTTGGAAAAAGCACTTCACAAGACTCGGAAAATCAAGCAGAAGGAAAACCTCGTGGCTGAAATAATCAAATCAACGCCGGTTAAACCGGAAAATGAGGAAAACCTCGACGGGAGTATTGTTTTGAACGCCACGGCGGAGTTCTGCCGTACATTGGGGGACATTCCAACCTATGGCAAGTCGGGAAATCGCGAGGAAACCGAAGAATTGATCGATTTCGAGCGCGACTTGAAAGAGGAGCCAGAAATGGATGAAATCGAGCAGGAAGAGAAGACTGGTTGGAATTCCGTCGACCCGAATGAGCCCCATGAAAGCCCCCAAATCGCCCCACAGGAGGTGCAAATCCTCGACGAGGAGCCCGATGTCAGTACGGGGCTTGGGGCCGCTTTGAAACTCGCTATGAGTAAGGGTTACCTCGACAAGGAGCAGAACAAGAGGCCCTCGAACTCGCGTTTAGCTCACTTGCAAGCCAAGCATTACTCCATCGAGGACAAGACGTATGGGGATGAGGGCGACCGGGCGAACCGCCGGGAGAGGTACACGGGCCCCATTATGGAGTTTAAGGAGAAAGACGGGTTCAAACCGAACGTCAAATTGGAGTATATCGACGATGATGGACACGTTTTGAACTCGAAGGAGGCCTTCAGGTATCTCTCGCATAAGTTCCACGGGAAAGGCCCCGGGAAGAATAAAATCGAGAAGAGGATAAAGAAGGGGGTTCAGGAACAGTTGATGAAGAAGATGAGTTCGACGGATACGCCCTTGGGGACTTTGAATATGTTGCAGGCCAAGCAGAAGGAGACGCAGTCGCCGTATGTGGTCTTGTCGGGGAACAAGCAAATTCAACAGACAGCGGTTATTTCCAAAAGTCGGCGTTAATTCAGTGTTGTAATCAATTAGCATTAAACGAGTTATTATTTGAATTAACATCATTTTATAGGTCATTTTTTATGTTCAAATATTGCTTCATATTTATGAATAACCCTGTGTCCCACCAGTCGTTTTTAATGGGACTTATTTGTCCCATCCGTACTGTTAAAAACGCTAACCACCAACTAAATGTAACATTACGCGACCTAAAAACATTCACCTCAATTAATTTATCAACTGGAAAACGAATGGGACATATCTTTCAACTAAATTAACCGCTTAGTTGCCCAGGACTCTTGAAAACGTTGTTAGAAACATTAATTTAGAATAATTTCTGGGTTAAAATCGAACAAAATTGGATGGGAAATAGCTCAAGTCGGATTATTTTGACAGAAAACAAGTCTAAGCAATTATTTTGTTGAAATACATTGATTTAAGTTGATTTTTGGCTTAAAATCGAGCCAAATCGATTGAAAATAACACACAATGCTTCATTTTGTCCGAAAATTGAAATTTAAACAATTATTTCGTTAAAAAAAAATGGAATAGTCTCTGGGTTAGAATCGAGCAAACTGTTTTTTAAGCATTTATTTTGTTGAAATGCTTTGATTCTAGTTGATTTTTGGCTTAAAGATAAGCCAAATTGATTGGAAATTGCACAAATTGCTTTATTTTGACCTAAAATTGGATTTTAAGCAATTATTTGTATAAAATACTTTGCTTTAGAATGACTTGTGTTAAAATCAAGCAAAATTGGGTGGAAAATAGCTCAATTTGCTTTATTTTGGCAGAAAACAACAATTTTAGCAATTATTTAACTATAATACATTAATTTAGAATGATTTCTGGCTTCAATTCAAGCAAAAATTTATTAGAAGTGGCTCAAATTGTTTTATTTTGGCAGAAAACTGTTATTTAAGCATTTATTGTGTTAAAATAATTGATTTAGGTTGATTTATGGCTTAAAATTGAACCAAATTGATTGGAAATAGCATAAATTGCTATATTTTAGTCGAAAATTGGGATTGAAGCAATTGTTCTTCAAATACTATTTCTTTATATTCACAATAAAATCAAAGAAGCCGATTTTTTAAACAAAAATTTTAATTATTTTTATTTTTCTTTTTTTTTGAAAAATCCAAGACGTGTTCTGATTGGTTGGTTTTAAAAAACGTAATTGATTGGCTAACAATCAAACAATGACACACAACTTTAACGCATTAAATATTTTTTTTTATTTTTATTGGTCTAATAATCGAAAGTGCATGATTCATATTGGCTCTGAACAAAAACACGATTAGCCCGTCACACCAAACTTTTATTTTAATAGCACTAATAATAAATAAAACTAATAAAACTTTTTTATTCTCACCTGAGGATGACCACTTTGTGGTCGAAACGCGTTGTGCTATTAAAATAAAAGTTTGGTGTGACGGGCTAATCGTGTTTTTGAAGAATCATATTGGCTCCACCCATTGTACAAAATTAGATCCAATTAAAGTAAGATAACACACACTAAACGCTGATTTGTTATAAAAATTCGATTAAGAATTCAATAATTATTCACGATTTTTTAGTTATGTGAATGGGAAATAATTATTATTGGCCCTTGTAATCGGATCATAAATTAACAAATGTGTCCAACCAATCAAATTCAACCTTTTGCAAAAACCTCACCGATAAATTGTTTTAATTCAATTCGAATTTGCTTTGAAAAAGACCAAAAATAATGAATTTAAATTCATTTTTCCAATTAGCCACCAAAAATTAATGTTAAATAAGAGACTATTTTTTTCTGTGGATTCCAAAAAACGTAGATTAAAGCTTTTATATGACTTTAAAAAAAATCGTTTGATTTTGTTGAAGAGTGCCAACCATATTGTCGCGAAATGTCAACAACTGTGAGAAGTGTCAGATTGAATGTTTGAAAGCCAACGCACTCTTATTGATGTTTTTCTTTAAAACGCTATTTTAGACACTTTTAGACCTTTTTTCTCTATGAAACTCTACTACTTTGTAGAATTATGATTGAATTTTTGTTTCTTACTTTCACTCAATCTCCACCTTTTGCCGTTTTCTACTTTTAGTGCTTCAAAATTTTACAACAATCTCCAGGAGAAAACAATTGCTATCGCGTGACAAAGATGGTTAATTAGTACATTACATAACGAGCACGAAAAGTGATAAATAACGCACAAGCGGGAAAGTTGCGCACAAGGCGTTAGCCGAGTGCAGGCAATCCCGCGAGTGCGTTAGACACTTTCCTGCAAGTTTTGTACCCTATTTTTCCTACGACCATAATTTTTTTTTTCTTACGTACATATTTTTTTTCATAACGATTTATTTTTTATAATGGATACAAAAAAATACGTTAAATGAAAAAATACAAAACATTCGAGTGTCAATTGTGCGTTAGATTTCTAACACAGTGCGAAAACAAATCGCACAGGTTTTCGACCTCGTACGATATTGCCAATTTTCGCGCATATGTAATTGTGTGTTATGATCTAGTTTCGTATATGGTCGTAGGAAAATTAACGTTTTACACGGGTGTGAGAGCGTTCAAGCTAGTAAGGTATATAATAATATAATACACAAAAAATACTTTATTATATTACTTACTAATTACAAAACCATCAACCTCGGCGCGATATTCATCGACATTAACTCTTGGAAGAGCAATTTCGCAGCATAGGGCAGCCTAACTTGCGAAATCTGCGTCTTATTTTTGCACCCTTTACACTCAAACGTGTTATTCCGCATATTTGCGATGGCAATCAACCCGCAAAAATTACAAACATGGATTCGATACTGATCCGAGACTTCGAACAACCTCTCGCGGAGAAACTGTGCCGCTCCGTGCGAAATCTGACAATCCCGTTCCATCTCCCCGAAACGTAGCCCCCCATCGCGCGCTCTGCCCTCCATCGGTTGCCTTACAAGAATCTGGACCGGCCCTCTGGCCCTCGAGTGGATCTTATCATCGACCATGTGCTTCAATCTTTGATAATACGTCGGCCCTATGAAAATTTGAGCGTTGATTTTCCGGCCCGTGTGCCCATTGTACATCACTTCGTTGCCGCGGAGTTGATACCCATACTCTTGCAACAGTGTTGAGATTTTCTGCACGTTGACGGCGTCGTTAAATGGGGTAGCATCGCCGATTTCCCCCTTATTGGCCGAGACCTTGCCTTGGATGCACTCGATCAAGTGCCCGATGGTCATCCGGGACGGGATAGCATGGGGGTTGATGATAATATCGGGGGTGATGCCCTCACAGGTGAAAATCATGTCCTCCTGGCGGTACTGTATCCCGCAGGTGCCCTTCTGGCCGTGCCGCGAGGCGAATTTGTCCCCAATTTGGGGGATGCGCACCGAACGCACCCGAATTTTACAAAATTTGTAACCCTCGGAGTTGAGGGTGAGCATGACCTGGTCCACGACGCCGGTTTCGCTGTTGCGGAGGAACGTGGAGGCGTCGCGTTTTGTGAAACGTTTCGTGGTGCCGTCTAATTCGTCGTCGTTTTCCGGCAGTGTCATTGTTTTGCCGATGACGACGTCGTCACCAGAGACACGAATTCCAGGGGCGATGATACCGTCATCGTCCAGTTTGTCGTAGAGGGCGTTGCGCATACCTTGACAGGTCTGGCGAGTCGGCTTCTCGAATTGCTCCTCCTGGTCGCCGAGGCGCTTCGATTCGGCGTCTTTGTACGACCGGTAAAACACAGACCTGAAGCAAGAGAAAATAAAAATTAATTTCTGATCAGTGTTGCCACATCAAAAACAATAAAATTCACCCGATCCGAGTTGAAAAATTCGCAAAAAAACGCAATATTCACCTTAAACATCCGCTTGAAGCCTTGAAAAAAGCGCATTTCGGCATTATTTCGGCTTGTTTTCGACAAAATTTTGCGAAATAATTAATAATAAGAAATGCTCGGGAAATGCAAAAATAATGTAATTTAAAAATAATAGACTTAATTTCTTGATTTTTTCGTTTGTTTTAGTGAAATCTAGTGAAAAACTTGAGATTTTAGTACAAAAACGCGCTTTAAAGCATTTTCGGCCAAGTTTTGTGGTTTCTCAGATTATTTTTGTTTTAAATTTGCTCAAAAACTTAACAGCTTTTGAATGAAACAGAGACAATAAGATCAATATCAGTCCTTTATGTGATTTTTAGGCGTGTTTAGACAAGATTTTGCAAAGAAATGAAAAACAAAGGAAGTCGGGTGAAACAAGCTAGAAAATGATATCAATTTCGATTTAAATTTGTAATTTTTTAGCCTTTTTCAACGCAATATTTCGAACTGTCTGTGTTTTTATCTCTTAAAAACATGCTTAAACACTCGAAAAAGGCCAAAAAACGCCGTTTTTGGGCTATTTTATTGCATTTTTGGCATTTTGCAAAATAATTGTGTTTCTAGCGGAAAAAGCATTCGAAAAAGGCATAAATAAGTTGTTATTTTCGACTCTGCTTAATAATATCGCGTAAAGAACAAATATAACTATTTTTAACCAATTTGGTATTTTTCGATTATTTTGTCTTCGAGAAAATTTGACGAAAGCATAAAAGTTAGGTAAAAATATCATAAAAAAAAATTTTCTAACAATTTAGTGATTTTTGACGTGCTATGGCAAACTCTCGCGAAAACACTTTATCTCTCAAAAACATGCTCAAACACTCGAAAAAAGCCAAAAACGCCGTTTTTGGTCTATTTTGTTGCATTTGTGTCTTGTTTTTAACAAAATTTTGCAAAATAATTGTGTTTCTAGCGGAAAAACATTCGAAAGACCTAAATAAGTTGTCATTTTCGTTGAGTAATATCTCGTAAAAAACAAATAGAACTATTTTCAACCAATTTGGTGTTTTTCGATTATTTTGTCTTAAAAAATGCTATGGCACTCTCGCGAAAAAACAGACTTTCCAGCTTAAAAATCTGTTTGAACTTTCGAAAAAGGAAAAAATAATATCATTTTTGGCCTAATTCTGTGTTTTTTGGCTTGTTTTGAACAAAATTTTACGAAATAATTGCGTTTCTAGCTGAAAAGCGTGCTAAAATTTTCAAGAAATGCAAAATTAATGTAATTTTCGACCTAATTTGTTGATCTTTTTAGTTCGTTTAGCAAATCACACAAAAACCCTGAAATTGTAATACAAAAACGTGTTTAAAAGCATTCTCGGCTTATTTTTGTCTTATTTTGCTCAAAAACCAGTCAAATCGGGTGAAACAAACAAAATAACATCAAAATCAATTTTTTGTGATTTTTAAGCGTGTTTGGACAAGATTTTGCAAAATAAATGAGCCTCTGGTTCAAAAACGAAGTAAGCCGAGCGAAACAAGCTAAAAATAATATCAATTTTGTTTTAATTTCGTAATTTTTTGCCTGCTTAAACGAAATTTTTAGAACTTGCTTTGTTTTTATCTCAAAAACGTGCTTAAACAGTTCAAAAGAGCAAAAATAACGCCATTTTTGGTCGAATTTGTTGAATTTTTGTATTGTTTTTAACGAAATTTTGCGTTTCTAACTGAAAAAGAAGTATTCGAAAAAAAAGTATTGTAAAAAAATAATCAGAACTATTTTTAACCAATTTGGTGATTTTTCGACTTTTTTGAAAAAGTTTGACGAAATAATCAAGTTTCTGATTGAAAACGCGAAAAACAGTTTTTTTTCATTTCCAAAAAATCACCAGATTTTAGAATTTTTACTGGTGAAATTTCACCACTTCCTGATCGAAGTGACCTGTGACTTTGAAATTAAGTTGGCAACATTAGCTATCAGATTCAAACGTCACGTTTTTATGATCAATTGTCATTCATTTCGGACGGGTGGATGCTGGCATTGCCGTCACTTGACTCAATTTGATATCATCAATAATTCGGTGTTGCCAACTTAAAGTCGATGAAAATAGTTAACTAACCGGAAAAATCCTCTTTCGACGGCTGACGCATTCAAAATAACCGAATCTTCCTGGTTATAACCGGTGTAACAAGCAATAGCTACGATACTGTTAATCCCAGCCGGTAATTCCCTGAATCTGAGATATTCCATCGATCTGGTTGTAACTAAAGGTTTGTGTGGGTAATAAAGGACATGGGCTAGAGTGTCCATACGGACGTGGAAGTTGGTAATGTAGACACCCATAGCTTGTTTACCCATAGCACTCTGGAAATTTGATCATTAGAAAAAAAAAACTTCAATAAATAAATAAATACTTGATATGTGTTTCTGGGACTTTGATTGTGATCCGGGAACGGTATAATACTAGCACAGACCCCCAAAATCATAGCTGGATGGATCTCACAATGGGTATAAGTGGTACAATACGCATATTCCTTCTCCTGTCGTAAATCATCGGGAGACATCGCAATCATAACCGTTTCTTCCTCCAAAGTATCGATATATTCGACAACTCCTGAAGCTACCAAAACCTGCCACCCGTAATTATTATACTCCCTCTCTTTCAACATATCAATATGGCGTTTTTTCAATAATAAAGTCCCATTTTCTACGATCAATAACGGCCTACAAATCCTCCCAGCATCCGTGTAAATCCTAATCTCCCGATCCCGAATATCCCGAATCATGGAAACCTCCGATACTATGATATCCATCTGCCTCCTCAACTTCCTCAAAGTCGCCATCAACTGTTCAGGATCCCTGTGAATCCCCACCCAACAACCATTTACAAAAATCTTAGTCGCATTGGCTATGGCAGAGGGTGCAATTTCCTCTAAATTCTCCATTGACCACTCCTCCAAGAACTCCAAAATGGGGGAAGGTTGCGACCCTACCGAAATATAAGCCATGAGGGCTAGATTCTTCACCAAACCAACAGCAGCCCCTTCTGGAGTCTCAGCCGGACAAATCATCCCCCAAAGTGTGTTGTGCAATTGTCGGGGCTTCGCCAACTTCCCATCGCGTCCAATGGGCGAATTAACGCGTCTCAAATGGGACAAAGTCGATGCAAAAGTCAAGCGATTTAACACTTGGGAGACTCCGGCCCTGGCCTGATGGGCCTTTTTCTGGTCTCCCCAATTACCAGTCGCCAAAGAGTACCGCAACCCGTCTGTAATCAATTTAGTCTTGATGGCCAAATCCAGGTTAAAGTCTTTGCCCCTATCGATGAATTTCTGTGCATACATCCGGACTTCCTTCATTAAATTTTTAAACAAGCCCCGGAATAAAAACGCGAGAAGGGGCCCCGCTAGATCCAGTCTTTTATTCCCGTAGTGATCCCTATCGTCCAATTCCCTGCGCCCCAAAGCCGCCAAGAGCAATCGGTGGACCATGTACCCCAAAAAGTAGGCTTTTTTCGTCTCGCAGAAATCGGAGACTCCCACATGGGGCAACATCTCCTTCTGGAGGATCTCCCGGGCGTATTTGATACGTTTCTCTTTGGTTACACCAGGTCGGGCCCCCCTAGTCCCAATGAAATTAAGCGCAATGTTCTGTTCTTGGATTACGAAAGCTTCGTCAAGTGACGGCTTCACCATTTCCATCATTTCGGGGTCCTCGAAATCGTAGATGATGTGCTCGAGGATGTCCCGATCGGCGACGAACCCCAAAGCCCGAAAGACAATCATAATGGGGATTTCCTGCTTGATGTAGGGCAAAATCGCGATGATTCGTTGCCCAATTGCGGCTTTTTTGATCGCTTGGCCCCCACGAGCCATCATATTGACCCAGAGGGTGGACGTGGGACGCGAACTGTGCTCGAGACAGGAGCGAATTTCCGATTTGAAGGCGTATTTCCCGTCTTTCATTGCGAAAACATAAACGGTATTCGTGGCCATTTTCTCTTGAGCGATTAGAACCTTCTCCGAGCCGTTTATGATAAAGTAGCCCCCGGGGTCAAGGGGGCACTCGTTCAGCTCGGTTAAGTCGCGATCGGTTAAACCGTTGAGGAGACAGTAAGTCGATCTGAGCATAATGGGGATTTTCCCGATGAAAGTTTTCTGGTGTTGGGTCTCAATGGGGTCCTCGCCGTCTTTAACTATAGTCTTAGTGATGTCGACGTATAAGGGGGCTGAGTACGTCAAGTTGCGCAACCGGGCCTCGTTTGGCATCATAGGCGAGGGGGCACCGTCCTTCTCCCAATGTGTGGGCTTAGACAAGTAAATCTGCTCGAATTTCAACAAATACCGAGAGGGGTTTTCAAGCTCGCCACTCGTGTGTTGAGCCTCAGCCTGCAAGTCGATCTGGGGCGAGTCTTCCACGATTCTTTGCACCGACATTTGGATAAACTCATCAAAACTGTCCAATTGTTGCCGGACGAGGCCTTTTTCGTCGAAATAAGCATTGATGACGATCCAACAAGCCTCTTGCCACAACTCGGAGCTGATTTCCTCAGACTCCTCATCATCGAATTGATCTACAAAGCCAGATTTTTGCAAAAAAAGACACGGGGGTTATAATGGGGGCACACGTACCTTCGTCTTGTTCATACATTGCGAATTATTCCAAAAAAACACGGCACAAATACGACGCACAAAACACAAATTTTGTGCGTCTGTCAACTGGAGAATGTTTTTGACAGGGGGATATTCAGTGTAGCCAACATTTTGCTATTCAAAATTTCTCACAAGTTTTATTTCCTTCGCCCTTCACCCACAAATCTTTTCAACAAATAATCCTAGAACTGGATCCTGCTGGATAATTTTCAAATAAAAATCTCATATAAAATTGACCGATTTCCTGTAATGATCGTGAAGTCTTATGTAACCACACGACAAAAAAGTTCCCAGATTTTGAGACAAAAAAGTTAATTGAGGCACGAAAATATTTGTTAATTATCTGTGATGCAATTTAAAGCTCAAGTAAAAGATAAATAATGCAATTCATTAATTTAGCTACGATTATTATATTTTTGTGGGTTACACTACGTGACTTTATGACATTTAAGTGGCGCTAAATTTGATTTAAATAAAACTCGAACGTAATATATTAATTTTTACTAGGAACAGTCATTTTTAATACAATAAATAACTACAAACTATCATTGTAATCAGACTGTGAGCAAATTTGGCTGAATTGCTTCCTGAGCGCCCAAAGAAAAACCCGGTCCTTTTTTTACCTAAAAAACACCCTCATTTTTTGTTGTACATTTTGCAAACTTACTTTTTTCGTTGGGATCTTGTACTCCACACTGCTTGTACGCAATTTTCACTTTACGTTTCGTGTTAATATACCCTGGGATATACAATGTGGGGGTATCTAAACGCCCACTTGCTAATAATCGGCTAAAATCCTGCTCTAATCTCCCAGCAAGAGGTCCCTTGAAATGCAACAAAAGCTGAACACAAGCGTCGCTATGTAACGACTTAGTTTTCCGCGAATCTACAGTCAAAAACCAATCGGGGATTCCCAGAATTCCGCGGACTTCTTCGATAAACTGCGAGAGGACGAATCGTGGGGACTTTTCGATATTTGCATACTTTATTATATCATAGTCGGGCTCGATATTAGCACAAGCGTAACGCTCGGGGCGTCTATTGGGGCTCATGATTACAATCGAGCGGCCGATTGCTGTGACATCCCCTTCGAGCGGTAAATTCGAATCGGTGAAGACTTTGCGCTGAAGCCCGATGTCGATGGTACCCAAACGGGCCGACAGGTCACCCACGTGACACCTGAGAGGGTTCTCAGGGCCGCATTCTTGCCGATAAAGATCACCCTAACAACGAAACGTTATTTTGGTACCACAAATAGAAAAAATTAGTACATTGAGAGGGTCAGCGAGTTGGGTGAAATAAGGGTTCCAGATGTAGCCCCCGGCCACACATCGCGTATTTTGGGTCTTGACAGCTGCGTCCACACCCACTGGATTCACATAAATGGCCCAATCATGGTCCCTGGTCTATAAAACAAGTAGTACCATTACGAAAATTTGGTACTGATACGTACCACGTTCCGGTCATTTTTTCCAGGGTGGCGGAGCTTGATTTCAATCGTGGTGTCACTCTTACTCCCATCATTATAAATTAATTGTTTCTACAATTAAATCATTAGGGTAATAAAAATTGACAGGTGGTGGTACCATTTTCATGTATCCGTAAGCGTACCCTTCTGGGTGATGGAACGAGGCAATTGCGCGTAGTTCCCGGGCTTCTGATGGGCTATAGCCCCGCTCAATGGTAGAGCATGCCCATCTGGACTTGTCCTAAAATTAATTTTAAACAATTGAAGACTAGAAATGAGTGGTACCTTCTTATGGATTATGACAGAACGGCCCACTATGCTTTTAGGGCCAAATAATGGAAGCATGGTATCATTGTAATCAGTTTTGTAGTAGGTTTGGTTGTCAAGAGTACCAAATTTGCCACTCAAGTCGCCCATTTCGTATTGGTCGGGGGTACCATGGTAGGTGCGCGGGGACGACGATGGGTCCACATTCAATGGGTTCCAATGGTCGTACAAGCTTGAAGCTTCACATGGAAACTCGAGATTTTCCTCAACAGAAGTCTAGAACTGTCCTTGTGGTAAAAAATTAACGACTTTTGGTACTTACAATATGGATGTGGTACCCACTATTGTCACTCAAGCCTTGCAAATTCACCTCAACATTAGTAATGTCGTACTCAGTCTGCTGGAAAAACTCAATTTTGCCCTTGACTGTGATTGGTACCCCATTTGGGAACCAATCCTTGACCACAGCTTTGCGTCTATAGACTCCACCGATGCTAAAATTTACCAAAATAGGGGCACAAATGGGTTAAAATTCAACTTACATGGAACACGCTAAGCGCTCGCCGCGTGCTTTCGGCCCATGGTCGTCATAAAGTACCATCGACTTGCCCAAAACGCTGGAATGGCCCGTCAAGGGCAAAAAAGGGTCAGTCCACATGGTACGCGAAACCTTGTCACTGTCGGCAATTTTGCCCGAGATTTCAATGGTACCAAGCTTGGCAGTCAGGTCCCCAACGCGGCACAAACCACCACTACAAGGGTTCACATCAAAATCGATTTTGTAAGGGTTGTAGATTTCCCCCGAACTGAGACAACGCTCCTTCCAACTGTAAAAATCCTTCCCGGGGGGCTGCTCATGGATGGCCCATCGATGTTCCCTTGAGTTGTTCAAAGTGGCCCCATCGGCGTGCACCAAGTACTCCACTAACACACTAGTGTCGCTCCAGGGCTCATCCCTCACTTGTCTCATCAAAACGCGCCCCACTGTCGGGTACCGGAAGACGACCTCGGCGGTAAAAATCGGTTTTTGGTACCGGAAATTAGATTCGTAGAGTGTGACTCCGCCGCAAATCCAAGGCTCGGCGAGGATCCCCCCTTTCGGGTACTGCGTGTTCCTGGAACCAACCAAATGAGTGGGTACCACCACGAAACAACACCTACTTGTAAATGACCATCGTGCGATGGATTATTGAGAATTGTCCTTGGAGAGGGAGAAAAGTGTCCCAGTATAAACCGCTCAGTTCTTGCCCATTGGGTACCAGAACCGTTTCATTGTTCCTCCCGTGGAGTTTCCCGGATAAGTCCCCAACCAAGTACTGGTTTTGGGTCCCCAACCCGGGTGGTGGTACCACATTTGGGTCAATTTTGACCGGGTTGTAGACGAATTTCGTCGTTAGACACGAATTCTCGTTTTGACCCAGCGTTTTGGAGGGTTTAACTGGCAATTCGTGGATTTTGTACCCCGCGACTGAGGAACTATACACCAAGCGGGTTTCCAAGTCACCCCGAGCTGTGGTCAAGTCAAAATTGACAAAAGTCGGTTCAAATTTACTAAATTGTGTCATTGTGACTTCTCCTTTGATCCCCCCGGATTGTATCACGACCCTAGAAGTAAAATTAGCAAAATGCAACCCACTTTCCTTCTAAATCTGTTTTTTTTTAATGGAAATGCCAAACAGTCTTAACGTTGGCACCACTAGTAAATTCATTCATGGTAATTTTAATAAAGGAAGTTGGCAGTTCCGGTTTTTTGAATTAATTTGAAAACAATGTCATTAAATGTCAACACAAAAAATCGTCTAAGAACTATTAGAGACGAAACTCCAAAAAAGTAATAAATTCGGTACCGCTAACAGTTTTTAGAAATTTGGAAACGAATAGCTCTCAAGCAGGAAGTTAGAAAAAAGGCCCGTTAAAATGTAGACGCAATTTATAATGCAGGTTAGCTAAACATTCTCAATTTTTAGCAAGAAATTGACAAGAATCCAAAATAAACATGAATGAGAAAGAACCTCGGAAAGAACGCAATTAAATTAGTGTCTTGTGCATCGTTTTTGAGGAACGAGTTGAAAAAGTAACAATTTTGAGACTAAAGCTGAAGAAAGATTTATAAAATGCATCAACTTTGAGCTGATTTCAATAAATTACACAAAATTTATTGCCAATCATCTTAATACCCACTTGTATTTTTTGCTAAATAATTTTTTTCTGTATACAGCGTGCGCCAGAACTCACGCCCCAGAGAAAAATGCCATATAAGGTAAGATACCAGGAACATGGAAAAAATGTTAAAAAAAAAATCTATAAAAATTTTGAAGTTATGAGGGTTTAAAGTCTGCACTTTGACTCTATTTATTTCTGTTGGAAAAATGATTTTCCAAGTTTTTTTGCTATAGGCTATTAAAAGAAGAAACAAAGAAGCTGAATCCTAAATTGTAACTCTGTTCAATGTAATTTGTGGCTTTTATTGGCAAAATTTTTGTCACTAAATAATTGTAAAAAACATATACAAGATCATCAGTATCCTTAAATAGATATAAAAAAATGTCAAATATCAAAAAATATATGTCAATTTTTTTTGAAAGATAGAATTGTTGAAACATTTATTTCATGTTCCTAGTATCTTACCTTACTTGTATACATCCTTTTTCTTGAAAGTTTTTGTAGCAAGAACCTCATATTAGCACTGAATTCTGTCTTTAGACCTTAGGTAATGATGTCTGTCCTCAGGTATTCAATTAAAGCGCTTTCAAAGAGCAAACAGGCACACAAGATTCATAAAAGTCAAAATTTTGGCAACATCTCAATTTGAAAACATAACCATAACTTTTGCAACAAAATTTCTAGGGACAAAAACAAAGAGCAAACAAAATTTGTGGCTATGGAGATAATTTTTTGACCAAAATTTTGACTTGGTATTTTCTATTTAAAGAAAAAACAGACTTTAATTACTTGGCATTGATTGGATGCTCGTATCTAATTTTGGCACAGGCGAGGAAGCTGTCGGGGTGTTTGCGTTCAAAGACGACCAAATAGAGACTCCTTTGGGGCCCTTGGAGGTCCCCTGGGAGTAGAATCAGGTGTTGGTCGATAAACAAAGTCTTGAATTTGCTCCGAGTGTAGTCTGTCGACACTTTGACTTTCCCGAGTCGCGCATCCAAATCCCCCAAAGCCCCCTTTCCGGTGTTGTCAGGGTCGAAGACAAGTTGCAGAAAGTTGCAATCGGGTCTCTCCTTATCACTATCGAGGATATCAGTCACGTAGATTTTCCACGAATGCTCGGTGAAGGCCACACTTTTAGTGTGATTTTCCTTGTTGGCGACGTGGTACAAATCAGTGGTGATCAACATGTCGTTGTGGTTGTCTTTGGTGGAGAACCACCGGAAGTTGACTACGCCGGAAATGGGGGTGTTGAACCGCGCCACTGCGATTTTCTCTTGCGTTTTGTCGACCATGGTGATGGTGGCGCAGATTCTGGTGTTGGTTTCGGGGTCTTTGAATAGGAGTCCCTTGCCGTAGAGGCCCCCATCGCCGTTGATTTTCAACGCGTTGGTGGTGAACTCGCTGGTACTGTTATCGGGGAGTACCAAAGGGCCGTAGATCGCGTCCAAGTTGACCAACTCTTTGCCCAGCTTGGTGCCCCAACAGCGGTTCTCCAGGTCGGTGTAGTCGACGGGGAACTCCACCACGGCCCAGGACCACACCTGAGTTGGGTACTCGAGAGTGGTGTTCAAATCGGTGATGATTTTGGTTTCTGGGCCGATTTTTCGGAACGTGATGGTACCGTGGAGGCCATGGTCCGAAATGTAGCTCTTCAATTCCAGAGACGTTGCTGCAATTTCTCTTGTTATTATTTATTATTTAACTTGAGAAAACTTAAACTTACCAAGTTTGAGGTAAACAAACCAAACGAAAACAGCTTGGAGTCCCATTGCGCGTCACATTTTGCCCCCAGATGGTAGAAAACAACTGAACGAGCGACCCAATGGAAGCGAATTCGATATTCTCGATGAATAGAAAGCGGGAACTGACTAATCACACACTTACCAACGGTTCTTACCTGTGTTGAATGAATGGATAGCTGTCAGACGAGGTCGGCGAGTGTGCAGAGTTGGCTTGAGAGGGGACCTTGCGACACTTGAGGAAAGTGAAAAGAAGTGGGTTGTGGGGTCACCTTTGTGGAATTTTTCGTTACGGTTCTGGTCGGTTTTACCTGAATCCGCGAGGATGGTAATTTTACAAATATTTTGTGGTCATTTGTATGAGTTTAGGAGCTTTGGGGCCCTTTTTGTTTGGTTATTGGACCGTGAGGAGCATCTGCGAATAATGGAAACGGTTGCTGGAATTAAGTGGGATGGGGAGTGAATTAGGGTTTGGAGGGCTGGAATTTAATTGTGTTGATAGAATAGTGACACGAGAAATGCGATTTTGCAAGTTAGAATGTTCTACGATAAGTAGTTTGAGAATTTTGGATTGATAGTTACCGTCGTTTTTTATCGACTAAACAATCAAAAATTTTGAAATTGGACCAAATGACGTTTTTTGGGTTCTACTCAAAAAAGTGCATAAAATGATATTAAATCGAATCTGAAAAAAATCGATTTTCTTGAGGTTTCAAACTTGTAAAAATAGTCAACTTTTTGTCGCAAAAACGCTTAAAATATTATGGTATTCTAGCCGTAAAATCACACGCTAAACACGATGTAACAAGTTAAAATGCTCTACGATTAGTAGTTTTTGAGATATTAAGTAATAAAGTCAAGAATAGGGCTATATGCATAGTCACTTTACTCGCTTATAACCAGAAAAACTATTTTTTTAAATTCTATCAAAAACTAACAACTAACAAACTGTTAACAAATTTTTACTTTTTTTTATTTTGTAAGTTTCGACAAAACTGTACATCAGTGATATAATATTTTGACGCAGGCATATGTAAAATGTTTCGGGAAATAATTTTGAAGTTAACGTCGAATTTTTATTTTTAATATTATTGTATTTTTTACAAATTTTTTCCATAACTATTTATCGTAGAACACTGATCTTTCTCTATACAGGGTGTTCCGTCTTTATTGTTACAAATTTAAACAGATGATAGAATATTCAATTTTAAGACAAGTTTTCTATAAACATATATCAAAAAATGTTATGTAAGCGAGCTGAAAGAGATGCGTTTTTTAATGGGGTTTTTCTATTATTACAGAATAGATAAAAGTACAAAAGTTGGTACAGCTGATAACCTTTAACCACCTACAACGAATTCAAAGATCAGTTGTCAAAAGTTTTAATCACGGGCGTCTTAAACGGTTAAACAAATTTAATTTTTATTTTTTTATCTTCTTTATGGTCTGCAACACATATTGTAAACTGATTTTATTCAAAAATGGTAAGTTGTATCGAAAAAACACAAGAGATCTCTTTTTTGTGAAAAACTATGGGATTTAAAATTTTGTAGCTGAAACTGGCAAAAACCAACAGCCAAAATAGTTAGGGTACTTTTTACCCTTAATCTCCCAGTTTAGAACGCCCATGAGTAAAATTTCGGCATTTTATCTTTGATTTTGTTTGTAGGTATAAAGTTTATCAGTTGTACCAAATTTTGTAATTTTATCTACAATGGTTGCTGAAATATTGGAAAAAATCCATTAAAAGATGTACCCTTTCAGGGGATGTAGCTCCCTTATTTAATATTTTTTGATACATGTTTATAGGAAACTTTTGTCTTAAAATTGAACATTCTATCACCTGTTTAAGTTTGTAACAATAAAAACGGAACACTCTGTATGATAAAAAATTAAATTTGCTTTTCAACGGTACCAAACATAAGAGGTTATTACTAATAAGTCCGGAGTTAGAGCTGACGCGGTTTGAGAAGAACACAGTGAGTCATCACGTTCTGACCGTAAGCTTCGAACCAGTGGCGTAGTGGTTCTGTTCGTGCAACGGGATACCGCGTTAAAATTTGAGAAAAATAACAATTCACGCATAACGTATTCAGTAAAGACAATTTTTACTTTTATTTCTTTTATTTCAAACATACGGTTTTTTTTCATATAGTCACTTCAATTTCTCTTTCGCATAAAGTGCTTTGTGAACGTTTTCGGACAAAATTTTTGGGTGGAGAAGAAAATGAAGCAGCTATTTCTTTCATTTGTTTTTGGAAAGAACGATAGCTTTTCTCGCTTATTTCTGTAGCTGCTAAAACACAATCTTTATAATTGCTCAAAAAAAAATTTAAGAGATTTTCCGCCTTCTCCTTCATAAATTTCATAACAGTGGCAATTAATATCCGTCTTTGAGTTTGAAGGACCTTGTCTTTAACATTAATGTTTGAGTTATTAGGCATTGTATACAAAAGTATTATCTATAATAACGTTAAAATAATTTATTTGATATTAAAAATATTTATGAAAAAGTTTGTTCTTACTTTGCACAATACAGAGCAAAACCGAGTTCTGAAAAGAATTGATTTTATAAAATAAAAAAAGAGGAAAGAACACAAACGACACGAATACATTAAACAGTACTAAGAGACTGGTAAACTAAAATTGGAAAATTGTATCAACTAGGTATCCCAAAGTCCAAAGAATTCCAGTAAATATTATCGTTTTCAACACCCAACAAATTCCACTACTTTCTTTTCAAATAAACGATAATTACATTTACCTACTTGAACCTCAACAAAGCTGGTGTTGTACTTGATGGAAAATTGTGGTTCCATTTTGTTTGTAATTAAAAAAATTTAATAACATTCCTTGCAATCTCGACAAAAATTTTAAAAAAATCAACTTTAAAATTGATCCATTTAACGTTTTTTACATTTCTAGAGGTGTTAAAGACCCAAAAAAAAAATACATAAATAGATAATTTAATGTAGATTCTGATGTTTGTTGGTATTTTGATATAAGTTTTCTAGTTTCGTAGAAAAACGCGTTTAAAGTTTCACAATTTTTACAATTTTCACTTTTTGAACGGCGATTACGGCCAAACTATTAGACTTAAAGCAAAAAGCTCAACACCATTGTAATCAGAGCAAAAAAATGTAGCGACTGACGCCAAAGCAAAATCAATATCTCGCAAAAAAGTTTTTTTAAAGGTAAGTAGATTACGGCTAAACTAGAGGAGATAGCGCAGAATGCTTGGAAAATTCGTAATCAACTSGTCAAAATCTATCGGATAAGATAGAAAACTGCAAAATTCGCAATAGATTAGAAGTTATAGTCGAATTAATATTTGTGCTATTTTTGTCTTAACCTGCGATTTTCTCAATAAGTATTTATCGCAGAACTACGATCTTTTTTATAAGAGAGTAAATTAAAAGCGCTTTCCAACGGTACCAAACATAAGACAGTTATCAATTATAATCTCAAAGTTATTAGCTGGTTTCCGCTCCGAGTACCAACAATCGCCCAAAATTTTGTCAAAAATCAAAAAATTGTAAACTTTAAAATTGATCCAGATGCACTTCCAAAAGGATTTTTTAAAAAATTTTGTGTACGAACAAATACATAGATTTAGAGCAGAGACACTAATCGGGAGCGTGATAGCGCTGCGGCATAAAAACTATAATATATGCCTCGAGGGCTGTAAGATTTTTTTATTTTATTAATATTTTACAAATTGTCTTAAAAGGAGTCGTTGGGGTAAAATCAGACTGTCATTCGTTTGATCTAACATATTTTATTGGAACAAGATGACAACAGTAGAGAATGAAATGAAACTCAAAGTAATATAAAATTAATGATTTATTCAGCGAGTCGCGTGGTGGCAAAGCGACTGCTGTTAAGTACAACATGTACAAAATGGCATTTTTTTTCTAATGAGCTCAAATGACGTAAACCATGCCACTAAGTGACATATTCCAAATGATGAGATAACTGCAGTTATGACGAGATGATGATAAAAGTGATGAGAACTGATGATTTAGGCGGCTTCACCTTCGCCTTCTTCCTCTGGAGCGGCGGTCAAGAGTTGAATGAGACCCTGGGTGTCAATCCTGCCTTTGTCGTCGATGTCCATAGCATCGAAAGCATCGTCGACCTCCTTGGCGGTGAATTTGTCCCCCCAGGTCATGAGCGCGTGCCTAAATCTGTGCCAAAAACAATTATTTCYCCCATTTGTGAACCAAAAACCCCACGTACCTTTCACTGTCGATGGTACCGTTCTCRTCAAAGGACTTGAARGCGGCRACGACGACCTCATCGTCGTCGGTACCACCGGAGTCCTGCATGCGGGTACCGAACAAGCCCAACAGTTGGGTGAAGTTGAGTGGTCCAGGGGCTTCGTTGATCATCTCATCGAGCTCCTTCTCGTTGGAGAGCTTCCCCACGGCGTCGAAGGTCGCCCGAAGGTCGGCCTTGGTGATGATGCCGTCCTTGTCGTGGTCCATGAGTTGGAAACCCTCCTTGAACTCGGCCACTTGAGCCTGCGAGAACATGGAGAAGACGTTGGAACCGGACCTTTTGACCTTCTTGGAGGAGCCTTTGGAGGAGGTCCTGGTTTCGGCTGGAGCCGGGGCTGCCTCAGGCGCATCTTCCTTCTTCTTCTTCTTGACCTTCTTCTCCTTGTCCGCCTGGAACACAACACTGAAGCACTGCACCAACACTGACACGGAAACTTACCATTTTGTTGTGTTAAAGAGTCTACTGGAGGAAAACCCGCGACTGGGTCTGTGGAAACGGGACGGGAGCCTTAAATAAGCTCGGCTCGACGCCAGGCGTACGTAATTTTGCTAGCCATATATAGCGACCCCTGAAAATAGAATCGGGAGAGAAGCCTGAAACACTAGAGCGGAATTTCGGGATTTTCAGCAATTGTGGCAACCTTGAAAAAGGGGCAAAACTCGAATGAGTTTGAGGGAGTTTTCCGGATTTTTAAGACACTGGTTGAAAAAACGAGAAATTTGTTACGGCATTCCTGACAAAAATTGTTGATTTGTATCAAGTTTCAGAAAATTTAATTAATTATTTACATAATTATGTCTCTTGAACTATTATGTTTTTTGTAATAATGATGAGAACCTGTTGCAATCAGTGTTCTATAATTAGGCGGAATGTCGGTGATTTATTTTTAAAATGGGAACAAACTTAACACAGTTCTGATTCATGCAAGCACATAATGAAGATGCAAAGTCTTAAACCATTTTTTATTGTAAAATATTTTTTAGTCGAAAGATAATTTAATTCAATTTTGTACCATTCATATCTTTATTCATTTTAAAACTAACTAAAACTAATTTGTTTCAATTTTTGCTCTTATTCTTTATTACACTATTAAAACATTCTTAATCACCCAAAAATCAAAGCACACTAATTCACAATAGATTTAGCAAATCTTCACTATAATTAGATTAGAAGGAAAGATGTCTTTAAAAAACTTTTAACCCTTTATGTCATAAAAATGATAACATTTTATGTAATTAAGTTAAAACGCCAATTTTTGTTAAATTTTTTTTTGCTTACTTAGTAAACAAAATTGTTTTTTATTGTGCTATTTGTTATTCCTTCGTTTTTTTTTATAAAGATATTCTTAAATTTATATTCGTAGAATTTAAAAATAAAACTGTTTGAATTTTTGCATGTTTCTATACCGCTGAATTTGATTCCTCAGTTAGACATGAAAAAACAAAAGATCATTATTAACATTTTGAATCCATTTGGACTGCTATGTTTGATTTTCTTTTCTACAAGCTACTCGATTAGTATTGTGAGCTTGAAAAGTTTCAATGAAGGTTTCAACTTAAAATTTTGAAAAATTTTAAAGCTATAGGTCGGTAATCTAGATTTCTTTACATTACATCATTGTCAATTATAGAATTTCTTTTAAATTACGCATTTTCTTTTTATGATTTCTTATTTTTTAATACATACAGGGTGCCCATTTTATCTGTTCCAGCCTGAAGAAGCAAAGATAGGCAACATATTATACATTTTATAAATTATTTTGTGTAAAGTATGAACTATTCTAAATTAAATAATTATAGTCGGTGCATGACGTCAAACTTCAACAAAAATTAAATTCAAAAGTCAAATGTATAATAATGGGAACAACAGCAAAAAATTAACTAATTATTGTATTATTGGTTGCCTACTTATGAAATTTAAGGAGAGAACAGTTGAAATAGGCACCTGTACAAAGATTTAGGCATACAAAAATACTTCTGAAAATTGTTGTTACAAACAACATGAAAAACGTAATTTTCTTAAAAGTTTAAATTCTAGGTGGAAATTTCTTGTTGACAAATCTGTATGCGTTTGTAGTTTTACCAAAAAATATTTTCCTTTGTCAAAAATAATCTTCACATTTCCTTTTACGAGTATTTTGTATCAGATTATAAAGAAGTGGTATATTTTTAAACAGACATTTTTATTCTTTTCAACTTTATAATAACAAAGACATAAGTTTCAAATATTTCACAATTAATTATAAGTTCAACTAATATAACTTTATAGTCGTTATACACGAATATTTTTTTGTTAAATAATAATTTAAAGCCAAAAAACTCAGTTGACTATACAAAAGGCTGACAGTTTTGATATTTACCACCAAGTTGACGAACAGCGCCATCTCTTAGTAACAAAGGAGTGAAAAGCCTCATTAATACTACCTGATTTTTTTATTAAAAAATTAATTGGTTTGTTTGAAAGTTATTTCGTTATTATCTACTACGTAATGAGAAAGTAGTAGAAAAAAACTTTTTTCTTGTTTTTTTTTTTAATAAATAAATTATAGTCTTACTTTTACACTTCATTAATTTATTTAAAGTCAAAAGCCAAGACACGGCTCATTTTATTGTCAAATATACACACAGAAACGCCATTGCATGACCCTGAACTAACTAATTCTATTTTTTTTCTCTTCTGTTACAAAATAAAGTAATAAAAAAACAATAAAAACAACAATAACATTTATTAATTAGATTTTTACACCAATCTTCACTGTTTTTTCGCCCTTTCTCCGAAAATAGCCGTCCCGACCCTCACATTCGTGCTCCCCAATTCAATCTGAAACATTTCAAACATTTAAAAAAATAATCAAAAATACCAAAAAACATACAGCGTGTTCATAACCATCGGACATKCCCATTGATAATTCGATGGTTTTCCAGTCAAGCCCCAGCTCTTGACACACTCTGTCTCTGCAAGCCCTTAAAGTGAGGAAATCGGGATTGGGGCCATTCCTGATGTCATATCCGAACTTTCCAATGGTCATTAACCCCTCCAAATGCAAGTTTGGACACTCACTCAAGACGAATTTTGTCAAGTCCACCACTTCACTTGGCTCAACCCCGCTTTTTTCCTCCTCTGCACTCGTGTTAACCTGGACCATGACGTTCAACTTGGAGTCAGGGGGCCCAAACTTGGGCCAACTCTTATTCAAATTCGCGGCTAATTTCTGCGAATGYACGGTCTCAACCATGTGCAAATTGGGCGTCGACAAGACTTTGTTAATTTTATTCGTCTGCAAATGCCCGATAAAGTGCCACTTGATGTCTTTACATTTTTCTAAAATAAGGGGGTGGTGGGACTTCTCCTCCAACTCTTGCACGTAATTCTCCCCAAAGTGTCTCTGCCCGGCCTCGTAAGCGTCCACAATCAACTCAACCGGCTTGGTCTTAGACACAGCCACCAGACGTGGGGGCTTACACCTCAACTCCTTGAACAAACAAAGACAGGGTCGGGTTGGGGCTCAAAAGCGACTTACTTGAGGCGTTTTAAGACTAGCTCGTTCGATGTTTTCGAGCACTTTTCGTAAACCGAGTTTTACATCGATTTCGGACATGGTTCTRAGCATAACCTCAAAGTCSAGACGGGTTTTATTTAGARGGGGATTACGGGGTTGTTGGTTTGGGATTATCGAAAGAATGGGATTGCGTCAATTGTGACCTCAGGGTGATTRTTTATTTGGAATTTTTACAATGTTTTAAATAATTACATAATGTAGGGTTCTGTAATTTACAGGTTTCTGTAGTGASAGTTGACAGCTTTGACACTTTTAGGTTAGAAAATGACACTTCTACTACCACATAGATGTCACAAACTGGGATAATTGCAAATAATTGAATTGAAATTAATGCAAATTGTGTTTGTAATGACAATAAACATCAATTAACATATGTTAATACGTGTAACAAATATTTGTTATGTAAATATTTATTTTTTCGGAATTTTTGTTGAGGGCAGCTGATGCATTAATACCCTTATGTCGTTATAAATTATGGAATTAGAGTTCTGGTCTCTAAATGAGAATTTATTAGTACACAATAAATAATAAATATTATGGCGCGAGGTGTGCATGTAGAGCATATTTCATAATTTATGGATTTAGTCGTTTTTCAGGAGAAATCTCAAAGTTTCGAATACAAAATAAATAGCTACAATTTCAGGAATTTTCAAACTTAAATCAAATTTCGTGCGAATTTCCCGCAGGACGCCGTCCATCCATGGCGTGTTATTAAGTCATAACGAGGGTCCCCGAATTTAATGAGGTTTTTATGCAGGCAATGACAGTCTTTTGTTACAGTAATGAGTTTAGGGCTGTCAATCGTCGTGGGTATTGTTAGCGACGTTCTTTTGTCAAATCGCCCTTTTGTCCTATACGAGACTGTATGCCGAGGGCAGTAAGGGCGCTTTTCCGCCCTAGAGCCGGATTTGGGGTGCTCATATGTAATGGACGACGTGTAGCACCGTGATGTTTGTGTATCACGATGGCTTTGCGGTTAATGTACGGTCGAATGGAAATGTAATTGCAGCGGTGGTGGAGTTGAGCGATTTTTGCTTAATTGGCCCCAACTAAATGTCATTTATCACCGGAAAATGGGTTTGGGGTAATTACAGGGTGGGCAAAGATGGAAAAATGAGGGGTTTTAGAGCCAAGAAATGAAAGTTTAGCCCGATTTTTAATTAKAGGGGAAATAAATCAAGAGAGCGGAGAATTTCTGTAATTTAGATGGAATTTTCTGGGTTTTATACAAAAGCACAAGTCTGTATTTTTCTCTTTGATTTGTGTTTCAAAACTTATAGATAATAAAGTGTTTTTGATTTTTTAAATAAATTAATTTTATTATTTTCTATTGGCTAATTAATTTAGAAATGAAAACATTTAAAAGTGACTTACACCGAAAAATGATGAGATTTATAAAATTCTTTAACCTAAGAATACTTAAAAGACCACAATTTTAAATAAATAGTCATATTCACAAAAAACAGCAATATTAACATAATAAATACAGTTTTTAAATATTTTTTAATAATTTGGTTAGACGTTGTTTTGTGCTTTTCAATTTTTCTTGTTTTAGCTTTTCTCCTCTTATCTACATATTACGTTTGTTCTTGCTTTCATACAAATATTTTTAATGGTTCTAGTTTTTTTTTAATTTTTGTAATACTTTTTGGCTTATAATCTGTCTATTGTCTCAATATAAAACGTATTCTGCTCTTTAATTTCTATTTTATTAAAAGCGTTACACCAAAATTAAAATCATAAAAAAATATGTATGTATACAGAAAATGAACCAAAAGTGTATTGACGTTTTTTATGAGTTTCATTTAAATTGGTTAAATAATGTTTAAAAATAAAATAAAAAGAATAAAATAATAAACGATAGCAAAATACGCCAAAGTAAAACAGAATCGAAGAAGAATACAAAAAAAACTAGAAAAAAAAATAAAATAAAATAAAAAAATAAAAAATGCTTATCAATTTTAGTTGTTGTGGTAACAATGTTTATTTTTTAGGAAACTGTTACCTACTGAGTTCTCAAAAACAACATTTTTTTACTGTTTATCAATAATTGCAATGACATTAGTCAACGTTGCCACATCCATTACTTTTTGAATACGTTTTTTATGCTTACTATTTTGATGTTTATACAGGCTGCTCCAGAACTTGCGCCCCAGAGAAAAATGCCATGACCAGGAATTTGGAGAAAATGTTAAAAAAAAAATATCTATAAATATTTCGAAGTTATGAGACTTTAAATTTTGCACTTTGACTCTATTTATTTCTGTAAGAAAAATAATTTTCCAAGTTTTTTTGCTGCAGGCTATCAGAATAGGAAACAAGGAAGCTGTATCCTAAAATGTAACTCTCTTTAATGTTATTTGTGGCTTTTATTGGCAAAATTTTGTACCTTTGCTGAATAATTATAAAAAACATATACAAGATCATCAGTATCATTAAATAGGCATAAAAAATCTCAAATGTCAAAACATAAATGTCAAATTTTTTGACATATAGAATTTTTTAAACATTTTTTCCATGTTCCTGGTATATCTTACTTGAATTTTTTTTCCAGGGCGCGAGTTCTGACACACCCTGTATACATATACCTGAGTATATTTCTACCTTTCATTGAGTTAGTGTGCCACTTTTTGAGTGGCCTATAGAAAATGACAGAATGTCCCAGAAATGACTGACAATATAAACCACTATTTTTTCAAATGTACCTAGCTTTTGATGCTGATGTTTTTTAACTAACTTCGTTATAAAATCTTTCATTAAAATAAAATTCCTGAAATATCAGCGTTGATGTCAATTCTTTATATGTATAGTTTTTGGCAACGTATTTAGATATACGGGGTGTTCGGTCGAAGTCGCCCCGGCTGATAACACCTAAACTTACTTCTTTTTTCCAAAAAGTAAATATTTAAGTAATAATATTCACTCTTGGCTTTCTTAATAAATGTATAATTTTTTTTAGCACATCCGTTGTTGTCGGAAATGCAACCAAATTTAGTTTTTCAAATAAAACACCTATGTTTTTTGTCCTCCAAACAATAATAATTGACATGAAAAATACTGTAAACCACTATTTATTACATTTTGCGTAACACAATGCAATCAAAAAACATCTTAAATCTTAGAATTCTACAAGGAAATTGGTCGCGTAGTCTGATTTTTAATTTTAAAGGAAAGGTGTGAATAAAAAATTGCTTGAATACAGTTTAATTGTTGGTTTGACAAATCTAATTTGTCAGTTGATGACTCTTATGAAAACTCTTGGATTTTCTTCAATTGATAATAGAACATTCAGATTTCTATTTTCTTGCTCTTCACAAAGAACCACAGGTTTTTTATTTTTAAGAAGCGAACCTATTCGTCTCAGTTGTTTTTCAATTCGACTAAATTTCTAACGATTTGGGTGAACTCTATTTGAGTATTTTTCTCTATATTGTCTTTCAGCTTGCGCTCTATTTTTATTGCACTTAAAAAAAAATTCGTCGTAATTAATATCATCCATTTTTAAAGATCTCAATAAGATTTATTGACAAATTAGGCTTTTTCAAACTAACAATTAAACGGTATCTAAGCATATTGCTTCTTGTATGAATAACCTGACAAGTAAAATCCGCCAACGTTGCAAAATTTGCCAATAAAATTCTAAAATTTAAATTGTTTTCTGAGTGCATTATGTAAAGTAAAATGTAATAAATAGTGGTTTACCGTATTTTTCATGTCAATTACTATTGTTTCGAGCAAAAAAACATAGGTGTTCCATTTGAAAAACTAAATTTGGTGGCATTTCCGGCTACACCGGATGTGCCAAAAAAATTTGATGCATTTACTAAGAAAACGAGGAATGAATGGTATTATTTGAAAATTTAGTTTTTGAAAAAAAAAGTAAGTTTAAGTGTTATCGGCCGGGGCGACTTGGACCGAACACCCTGTATGTAACCTTGATCGGTTAGTTAAATTTTTTGAGGGTAATAAAATGACTATCAAATGATGTTTGTTGTCAAATCATTTCAGATTGACTTTCCTGAAAAACCCAATTACCTTTATGCCACTTGGCAATGAGAAATAAATTGTGTGGTCCTTTGTGGCCCTTTTCGAGCTTAATTCGAGCGTAAATTAGCACAATATCTTATTCCTTTGAAAATTAGTCGTGCATTGTGTCTGAATTGTGTTCATCCTCAACGTGTCTGAACGTAAGCGATCCGGACAGAACCCATCTCGATAAGGATCGTTTTCAGGTATTATAACCCCAAATAAAGACATTTGTTCGAAAATCCAGTAAAACATAATTTAAACACATTTAATTTTAAAATACAAACCAGAAAGCTCGCTTTAATCGTTTCACGATGAGATCTCCGGCCTCCTCCGCGTGCTTCTAGGGGCTTTTCGCCGGAAACCGCTGAAAAAATATCGTGGAAGGACTGAAATGGATACTTTCAGAGCGGTCGCAATGAAAACAAATCGTGGTACGAGCGGCCAGACGTATTCAACGGTGCGTGAAGAGTCATCTGTTGTTAACAATTATAGGCAACTTAGTGACACAATACAGCCCTTACCATATAATAGAGTGGATAATGCACTACCATTATACCGAGCATTGTATGCTCCGAAATTAATCGCTTGTGAAATATAAATTTATTTGCGAGTTAATGGCGTCGCGTTTGATTTGGATTGGAACCAGCAGAAATCGATAAAAATTTCGGCCGAAATGAGACTCGTTACAAGTATAATGTATGGAAATGGGATTAGATAATTATTCCATGCTTTACTAGACGCTATAAAATGCGAGGATTATTACCCAAGGGCCCAGAGAGCTAATTTTTAAAGTGGAGATTTTATTTCTTCATCATCAGAATATTAAAAGTAAAGTAAACATGAATTCTAACATTCATAAATAGATGATAAACATTTCACTGAAATTTCTGATGCGCTCGTAAAGTACAAGGTTTATGCAACGAAATATCGTGGAGAGTTGGGCTAAATAATTTATAATTAGATAAAGGACGTTTCAGGACCGTACTCCATCTTGCACTGGTCTAAAAAATTTAACTAACTTTAAAATTTTTCTATTTCTTGAACATTCTCGTGTTTCAAATTCGGTTTTAGCTCACATCTCTTTTTGCCTACACATATTTTGTTTCAATCATTGCGGTTTTAC